ACTTGTGCCATGACTTTTACTCGGAAACAGGTCGTTCTTTGTCCCTCTGTCACTTTATGGTCATCCCCTTGAGTACAAAGATTCCGCGAAGCTTTTGGGGTTATTCTTTGACACTTGTTTGTCTTGGTCTCCCCATATCTCTTACCTCCGTGTTGAATGCTCTTAAGGGCCTTACCCTCCTTCGGGTATTGTCCCATACTTCTTGGGGCGTGGATAGGCGCGCACTCCTCGCTTTACATTCCTCTCTCGTCCTGTCTAAGCTCGATTATGGTTGCCCTGCTTACTCGTCTGTGCTTCTCCTTCTACTCTGTGCCGTCTTGATGCTTTCCACCTTACTGGGTTGCGCGTCAGTTCTGGTGCCTTTTGTTCGACTCCCGTCCTCAGCTTGTATGTTGACACTGGCTTCCTATCTCTCCGGGACCGCCGTGATCGCTACTGTCTTTGCTATCTTGGGTGGTCCTTGCACCACCCTTCCTCTCGCCTCTGTCGTGCTTTAACTTTTACCCCTCCTGTGGTTGCTGTTCCTCTTCACCACCTCCCTCTTTCTGTCCGGTTATCTCGCTTACAGGATTCTCCTTCCGTTCGTATTTCTAATATTTCTCCTCGTGTTGTTCCTTTTTTGCCCCCGTGGAGAGTCCCCCTTCCGCAATTTTGTACATCCTTGACCCGCATCACTAAAGCTTTTACCCCTCCTACGGTTCTAAACCGCCTTTTCCTTGAGCACTTTTCTTCTGACTCCCGCTCCGTTTCCGTCTTCACTGATAGGTCTAAGTCTGCGGACGGTGTTGGCTACTCTGTTGTTTTTTCCTGATTGCACTTATATGCGTCGTTTACCTCCGGAGACTAGCATCTTCACAGCGGAGCTTTATGCTATTCTCTATGCTGTTCGTCTCCTGCTTTCTCGTCAATCTTCCTTTGTCGTTGTTGTTGACTCGTAGTGCCCTCATGGCTCTCGGGTCCTTTAATCCAGTTCATCCAGTGGTTATCGAGATCCAGCATTGGCTGTTTCTTGTCCACAGTAAATTTAAGTCGGTTGAGTTTTGTTGGGTTCCCAGCCATATTGGTGTCTCTTTAAATGAGAGTGCGGATGCTGCCGCTAAGGAAGCTATCCGTTCTTGTCCCATCTCCCGTAAAGGTATTCCTTATTCCGACTTTTATCCTGTTATTCATTCCTCCATCCTTGCCCGTTGGCAGGGTTGTTGGTCCTCTGTACTGTAGTTAGTAACAAGCTTCGTACTCTCAAACGTAGTGTCCCCCCCGTGGCCTTCCTCCTACCACTGTAACCAGTGGTGAGAAACTGCTTTGGCAAGGCTGTGGGTTGGCCATACTTGCTTAACCCACGGTCACTTAATGGAGCGCCGCCCTGCTCCTTATTGTCTAAATTGTGTTGTCCCTCTTACAGTTGTGCATATCCTTGTTGAATGTCCTGACTTCCAGGATGAGGGTGTGTCTTGCTTTCTGACCGTCCCTCGCGGACACTTGTCCCTCGATAGAATTCTAGGTGAATCGGATACTTTTGATATCGTTCGCCTTATGCATTTTTATTCTCGTATTGGCATTCTTAGTGATATTTAGCGCCCTCTGATTATTTCGCACTTTGATGGTGCTACATAGCCTTCCCGGTTTGGTGCCTTCTTTTGATAATTACCTTACCTTGTTGATGATTTTTCTGCTGAGTTTGTATACAACTGACACTGGTTTAAACCAAAAACTGTATGGTGCATAATTTATTCCAAAATCAAATAGGAAATGGGTGTTTATAATGACTTGCATGCATTCATATGTGTGGAACCCCGGGTTACAAGCGTCCCTGTTTACGAGTTTTTCGGGTTACGAGCGTCCCTGTTTACGAGTTTTTCGGGTTACGAGCCTGATTTGGTCGGAAAATTTGCATCGGGTTACCAGTTTGTTGCTACGGATACAGGCCGACCTAGCGCGTGGTGACACGGCGATCGCGCCTCAGTTTACCAGTGCCTCACTTCCAGTGACTATCCCGCCTGAATTCTTCACAAGGATTTACAGTTTTTTTGATGGATTTTTGGCCATTTGAGCATAAAAGTTGTTATATATCTCGCCATGGGTCCTAAGAAAGTCAGTGGTAAGGTTCAACCTAAAGAAATAGTTGTGAGTAGAGGCAGTAGAGGATGTCCCTTCCTCATTAAGAAAATGTGTGAAGTATGGGAAGAACTGCAAAGTTTTGTTGAAAAAACTCGCCCAGATAAAACTGTAGCAGGCGTGGATAGGCGCGCACTCCTCGCTTTACATTCCTCTCTCGTCCTGTCTAAGCTCGATTATGGTTGCCCTGCTTACTCGTCTGTGCTTCTCCTTCTACTCTGTGCCGTCTTGATGCTTTCCACCTTACTGGGTTGCGCGTCAGTTCTGGTGCCTTTTGTTCGACTCCCGTCCTCAGCTTGTATGTTGACACTGGCTTCCTATCTCTCCGGGACCGCCGTGATCGCTACTGTCTTTGCTATCTTGGGTGGTCCTTGCACCACCCTTCCTCTCGCCTCTGTCGTGCTTTAACTTTTACCCCTCCTGTGGTTGCTGTTCCTCTTCACCACCTCCCTCTTTCTGTCCGGTTATCTCGCTTACAGGATTCTCCTTCCGTTCGTATTTCTAATATTTCTCCTCGTGTTGTTCCTTTTTTGCCCCCGTGGAGAGTCCCCCTTCCGCAGTTTTGTACATCCTTGACCCGCATCACTAAAGCTTTTACCCTTCCTACGGTTCTAAACCGCCTTTTCCTTGAGCACTTTTCTTCTGACTCCCGCTCCGTTTCCGTCTTCACTGATAGGTCTAAGTCTGCGGACGGTGTTGGCTACTCTGTTGTTTTTTCCTGATTGCACTTATATGCGTCGTTTACCTCCGGAGACTAGCATCTTCACAGCGGAGCTTTATGCTATTCTCTATGCTGTTCGTCTCCTGCTTTCTCGTCAATCTTCCTTTGTCGTTGTTGTTGACTCGTAGTGCCCTCATGGCTCTCGGGTCCTTTAATCCAGTTCATCCAGTGGTTATCGAGATCCAGCATTGGCTGTTTCTTGTCCACAGTAAATTTAAGTCGGTTGAGTTTTGTTGGGTTCCCAGCCATATTGGTGTCTCTTTAAATGAGAGTGCGGATGCTGCCGCTAAGGAAGCTATCCGTTCTTGTCCCATCTCCCGTAAAGGTATTCCTTATTCCGACTTTTATCCTGTTATTCATTCCTCCATCCTTGCCCGTTGGCAGGGTTGTTGGTCCTCTGTACTGTAGTTAGTAACAAGCTTCGTACTCTCAAACGTAGTGTCCCCCCCGTGGCCTTCCTCCTACCACTGTAACCAGTGGTGAGAAACTGCTTTGGCAAGGCTGTGGGTTGGCCATACTTGCTTAACCCACGGTCACTTAATGGAGCGCCGCCCTGCTCCTTATTGTCTAAATTGTGTTGTCCCTCTTACAGTTGTGCATATCCTTGTTGAATGTCCTGACTTCCAGGATGAGGGTGTGTCTTGCTTTCTGACCGTCCCTCGCGGACACTTGTCCCTCGATAGAATTCTAGGTGAATCGGATACTTTTGATATCGTTCGCCTTATGCATTTTTATTCTCGTATTGGCATTCTTAGTGATATTTAGCGCCCTCTGATTATTTCGCACTTTGATGGTGCTACATAGCCTTCCCGGTTTGGTGCCTTCTTTTGATAATTACCTTACCTTGTTGATGATTTTTCTGCTGAGTTTGTATACAACTGACACTGGTTTAAACCAAAAACTGTATGGTGCATAATTTATTCCAAAATCAAATAGGAAATGGGTGTTTATAATGACTTGCATGCATTCATATGTGTGGAACCCCGGGTTACAAGCGTCCCTGTTTACGAGTTTTTCGGGTTACGAGCGTCCCTGTTTACGAGTTTTTCAGGTTACGAGCCTGATTTGGTCGGAAAATTTGCATCGGGTTACTAGTTTGTTGCTACGGATACAGGCCGACCTAGCGCGTGGTGACACGGCGATCGCGCCTCAGTTTACCAGTGCCTCACTTCCAGTGACTATCCCGCCTGAATTCTTCACAAGGATTTACAGTTTTTTTGATGGATTTTTGGCCATTTGAGCATAAAAGTTGTTATATATCTCGCCATGGGTCCTAAGAAAGTCAGTGGTAAGGTTCAACCTAAAGAAATAGTTGTGAGTAGAGGCAGTAGAGGATGTCCCTTCCTCATTAAGAAAATGTGTGAAGTATGGGAAGAACTGCAAAGTTTTGTTGAAAAAACTCGCCCAGATAAAACTGTAGCAGGCCATTGCATTGACCTTTTAAATGACAATGTGATGTCTTATTACAGACAAGTGTTAAAATGTAGGGAAAACAAGTGTCTTTAGACAGATTCTTAGTAAGACAAGCAAGCAGTGAGCCACAAGCAGGTCCTAGTGGTATGCAGGCAAAATGTTCCAGAAAGTACACTCCAGAAAAATCTTTACTACCTGATGTTATAATGGAAAGGGGACTTGCCTTCCAAACAGCAACACCTCTCCTCCTCCCCTCTCCTCACCATCTTGCATATGCCAACTGGAGTCATCAGCAAGGGTAAGTAATAACTTGAACATACTTTTGTAGTGTAGATTTGGATGAATTAGGTATAAAATTGAGTTCGAAATGAAGTTTTTGGGTAGTCGGGAACGGATTAATTCATTTCCCTTTATTTCTTATGGGGAAATTAGCTTCAGTTTACGAGTTTTCAGGTTACGAGCTGTCTCCATGAATGGATTAAACTCTTAAACCGAGGTACCCCTGTATATATATGTATGCATTCATTCATATATACTTGCATACATGCACAAATATCGTCTGAATTTCAGCATGGAATTATAATATATTTGAAGAGTGCTTAAATTTTTAGGGGTTTTTAGTTTTATACTGTAGGTGCTAATGTTTTATTTCATATATGGTTGGCAATTAGCAATTTTTACCCTGACTGATTTGAAACTTGTTTTATGTGTGATTTAAGAGTTTACTTACATGTAGTTTCTCGCTCTTCAGGTTCCGATCAGCTTTGTGGACCGTGTGTATGGAGAAAGTAAATTAGGTGGATCAGAAATTATTGGGTTTGTGAAGGGTCTACTTTATCTTTTTGCCTCAACATGAATACAATGTATTAAGTAAGCTGATGTTTGTTTAACCACTGCACTGCGCAAAACGACCAATGCTGTTTTGAGAGTTGTCGGGTTTTTTTTAATTAGGCTATTCAGTATTTTAATGTTTTCATCCCTTTGTTTTGAAATGAAAATAGTTGAGTTTTTTAACATTTTTACATTAAATTTACCTGAACATTTATAAAAACAACAAAAATATGTTCTTAACAGTTGCACTATGAAGTTTTTGCCAAAAACAGGTGCGCAGTGCAGGGCTTAATTTCCTGCCAATTCATACATTTATAAAAAAAATTGCAACTATTAAAAATTTCTATCACACTGTTGGACTAGAGTACTGTACATTATCTTGTTTTATTTATCTGACATTGCAACATCTTGGGCATTGACACTAAATGAAAACAAGTAAAACCTTTTTTTATGTCTGCTAGTATTTGCCAAGAGCAGAAACTAGTGTAATGTGGGATTTAAAGTGCATATCTCAATGTAACCAGAAGTATAAACAGCAATGAAAATGTTATTTAAACATTGCAATACGAAACTAAATGTCTTATGGTACTTAATTACTTTGTATTATTTCAATGTGTTAAAAGGTAATTAATCTTTTTCTAAATATATAATTTTTAAATCATGGCAGTTTGCAGTGAAAAAGTTTTCCTTGTATATTATGGTATAAATAATTTCATATTTTGTAATGTATTGTCGACTGATGACAGCATAATTCCCACATTCCACTTGATAAATAACAGAAGCAAGTGATTTTAAAATGTATTGCAAAAACGTTGTCTGTTCCAAATTAGATCACTACAATAACTCTTCTGAGTCTGTTGTACTCTAATAATTACTTCTTGGTACTGTATTCAGAAGGTTTAAAGATTTAAACAACATCATTTGAAACTTAAGATTTTTGTATAATTCCAGATTTATTTATAATTTGCAGGCGATGAGTCACAATAATGTGGCTGAAATATGTTGACCAAACCACACCCTAGAAAGTGAAGGGATGACGATGTTTCGGTCAGTTCTGGACCACAATCGACTTGAGAATGGTCCAGGACGGACAGAAATGTCGTTGTCCCTTCACTTTCTAGTGTGTGGTCTGGTCAACATATTAGTAATTTATTAATAAAAACAATGGAAATTGGTAGCAAAATATAATTGTGTAAGTAAAGTTGAAGGGTTAAATATTTATTCTTTGTATTAATTTTTGTATTCTACAGTATGACATAAAATTGCAAATTTTCTTGAAAGTACAGTAATCTACATATACAGACTTCTAAAACTAATTTACATGCATGTGTCTGAAAGAGTGAAATAATTAAGTTCTAAACAATCCAAATAAACTTTCTCCTCCAAGGCTTTGGGTCTTTAGATTAGATAAGATAATGTTCATTCAGGTAAAAGTACATAAAGTACATTCAAAATCAGTTACAAATATAATGATGCATTTAAGAATATCCTCTCTTAACATGAAATATTCCATAGGGTAAAATATCCTTATCTAAATGGTAAGAAATGCTCTCCCTGTCTCTCGAAATAATCAGAACAACATGCAAGGCATTTTATATAATTAACAACAGATAAATGCATTAACTAATTTTTGTTAATACAGAGCCTTGGAGAAGAAAATATAATGCATCTAGGAAACCTTACAGGTTGTGTTCATATTCCTTCTCTGTATCTGCCCATTATTAAGTAGGAAGGACTTCATTACACATGGCGTTGACATCAATTTCTACATTCCAATCAACAATTAGGGTTACACTTTATAAATCTAAATGAAATACATTTTTTGTCAGTAATGAATCGTGATTGTTATGTACATGCATTTGGAGGTGTGGGAACTATTTTTATAAATTACTTTTACATATCATGTGAATTGGATGCAAGTGGGTGGATGATTGGATGCGTCTGAATTGAAAGATGAATGACTGTAGTACAGTGGCTACATTCTCATCTCGTAATTGATTATCACAGGTTCGATCCCTGGGCAGAACGGAAATGTGGCATGTTTTCTTTCACCTCGTGTCTGTTTACCTGGCAGCAAATAGGTACCTGGGAAATAGGCAACTGTTGTGTGATTTCATCTTGGGCGAGGTCAATAGTTTAACCCTAGTGAGACCTCAATACAAGCCTAAAGTATATTGTATATACATAGGCTTCTTATCCTGACAAAATGAACTGTATGTGAGGGATGAAGAAGGGTTACTGAATGCATGGCATGTTGGTGGGTTATATTGCTGAATACCTCTGTTTTGAGTGATTCAGATGTATTTGACTATACAGTATACTATACTTGTACAGTATATACTGTATGCAGAAGACGAGTCACAATAACGTGGCTGAAGATATGACCACCAAACCACATATCAGAAGATGAAGAAATGACAACGTCTCGGTCCATCCTGGATCACTATCAAATAGTGTTATCATTATCAACACACAACTTGATGCTGTAATGGTCCAGGACCGACCAAAATGTCATAGTTTCTTCATCTTCTGATGTGTGGTTTGGTCATCATACTTGTATGCATATTTAAAAGGAATGTGCTGCAGTTCCTGGGCATATCCTCTTAATTATTAGTCATCTGGTGGAAGACTGCATTACCCCACATTTTGTCATACTGTATGGAGTCTACCTCCACCACTTCTTCTCTTGGTTCATTTAACCATGTCCTTGTAATACAAACTTATTTTTTTTTTGTACATCTGGTTCATTTGCATGTTCAGTTTCCATAGGAGACCTTGCATTCTAGTCTCATTCCTTGAATTAATCTTTGTTGACCTTGTCAATGCCTAGCAGTATTTTGTAACATGGTATGTGTTACAGAATTGTTGTAACACATTTTACTTTTTCTCCTGTATTGAGATTTAGGGGTCTGCCTTTCTTCATAAATGTGTGGGGGTGATTAAGACACTTGTAAGGATATGTGAAGATAGGAGATTGAATGCCTGTTGTGGATGAGTAAATGCCTGTTGTGGATGAGTAAATGCATGTCTAGGTACTGGGTGCTTGCTAGTGGTTGTCTGCAAAGTGTGCATGATTGGATGCCTATGAGTGGGTGATACAGTGGCGCTTTAGATAACCAATGATGGGGATACACCACCACTTATATACTGAGGAACATACTTTTGATAATTTCTGAAAGCAGTTTTTATGAAAGTTTGTATTCCAAGATAGGAAGATATGTGCTGCATATAAATATTTTTGTAAGAAATATAAAGAATGCTACATTTTACATAAAATTTGTATAAATTTATTTATTTCTTTGTCGTGAGATTGCATTATTTCATTTATCAGTAATGAACTACAGAAAAATTAATGATTATCCCCTTACTTAGCCTTTTGCTTTGAAAAATTATCATTTGAATGTTAAATATAAATATTTTTATTTAACCAGAGTTGGTCTAGGTATCAAGAGTTGTGCATGCTATACTGCAGTTGTTTACTATACAAGATAATACTATTTATAAATTATTTTGTTCACATTTTGTAGGTGTTTGTAATAAAGCTGAATTAAAAGTAAATATTAGTTTGGTAATTGCCAAAATGATTGTAATTAGTTTTAAATATATTTATTAGCCTAATCAATTTAGCTTTTGTGCTTTTGAATTGTATGAATTTTTAATGTTTGTTTTCTTGTCTTCGAAATAGTATAGTACCCAAGAGAAATTATGATCTTATTGCTCAATTTAAATGGGGCTTCCAGCCTTTTCTAATAGCATTTTTTTTTTGGCAACTTAACATGGAAAAATTAATCTGCCTGTCCATTACATTTTATGTAAATTGTTTCCTATATGATCCAGTAATACAGAGAAGTATTTAATATTTTCGATGGTAAGTTTCACTTTTTCATCAATGAAAATTGTTGCAACACTTTGAGAATGCTTCTGTTTATATTATACAAAATCATTTTTATTTAAATGTGGATCATGTAGAGTACACATTCTCTTGGGTATTTTACTTGCAACTTAGATATTGTGATAGTCACTATATTATATGAATACAGTAGTCCCTATAAATACAGTAACTAGAGAGCTCAATATGTAATATTTTAATAATGAATATACACAATAATAATTTACAAGCATTATTTCTCTTTAGACAAAATATGGGGAATAATATAATGTTGGAATCTTAAAATGTGTGTGTTTTCCATTAGTACATTATTCACACTACATAGCATGATGGATAAACAAGAACCACCACCACACTAATAGTTATATGTTTCCCACTCCCTCACAAGACCAGGTGTACAATGCCCCCCTATGAGTTGACATACAGTGCAAGCAAATACAGCAAGTAATTATCAAAAGATGCCAACAAGCAAATAGTGAGTTTTTCTGTAAACTGCTTCCACCCAGCTTTATCATATTTCATGGATTGTTCACACTATCCTTACACCCTTGATACATCCTTGCCATATTAGCATATCTGCTTCCCAGCCTCCTCCTCCTCCTCTTACACTATTGGTCTACCATTCGCTCATTTCCCAAACCATATTTTGCACTGAGCATCATTTTCATTCCTTATTCTTTTCTTGTAACACCACACACATTTCTCAGATTAACTACTTTTTTATACTGAAACTCAATTTTTTCATGTTCATACTTCACCATTGTCTTGCAGTAATATGCAAGTCATCACTACTGCTCTTTCATGCAGCTCTCTCTTCAGCCTGGTGTAGTCTGTCCAACATCTGTAACTTCTGAACATTCCTCCACTCCAGTTTATTTGTGATGCCATTATTTACAAAATTCATATACTGTATATAATTATTTTAAGAAAATAGTAATGCTGATTATTATAATTATAAATTTCAGTACTCTATATATCAAATAGGCAGTGTCTATTGTGTCTAGACATGCCACTAATATGCATAGCGTTTCGGACAGAAACGCCCTATTCTAGGTGAACTGAACATGTGTATAGTCATAATAAACTACAATTTTAATATAAATTTACAATTAAAGTGGTGACATGTTTGCAAAAGAATAACATTAAATTGAATAGCGAGATTTACACAATGTATAAAACATTAATTTTGGGTAATTAACATAGCCTATGAATAACAAGGAATATATATAAAATAAACAGCATAATTGTAAGACATGACAATGAATATGAAAATTTGATTTACATCAGATTAAGGAGCTAACCTGCATCAAATTCACTTTGAATACACATGATGAGTATGAGGTGTGAAATAAACTACCACTCGCAGGGATTCACAATCATAATGGGATTCACAATAAGTACCGCTCACATTATATGGGCATGGGGGCATAAAACAGTTCATACACATCTAGAAGGCTCAGAACAGATCATACATACAAATAAAGCATGAACAAATTAATATTTTAATACAGTACTGTAATTATATAATTAATATTTTAATCTTCAGTTATGATATTTCATAGCAAGTTTTTTATAGTTGAACTATGGTCAAGGAAAACTTCAATGCAATCAGTCTGAAGCTAGTTTTCATTACTTATTAGCATGTGGTACTGAGCTATTTAAAATACTACACATTAAATTTGAAAATGTACTTTTTGAAAAAACTTCCAACAAAATTCAAGTGTTAAGGTTACAATTCTCATCACATGAGGAGGACTCTGCATATCCAGCAGGGAAAGGTGGAGGATCTGGGTACTTTTCAGCAGGAATGTCTATGCAGCTATCTTCAGCCATACATTCAAAGGGTAGACCTCGAACACTGGAAACAATGTCTGGAATTTTTGGAGCAGTGCAGTTCGGTTCATTTATGTCATCAGACTTGACCCCTGCAAAATGTAATAAATATTTTAATAATAAAGTATCACAGCAAGAAAAGTTCTAAAAATATTTGGAATGAAGTTGGAAAAAAAGTTAGACGAGTATAAATAGTATATAGTTCATTTATTATGCACCCCATACCCATTTTGTGGGCGGTATTGGATAGGGTTACAGAAGCACATAATGGGCTCAGGGACTGAACCCCACAATTCATTTAGCTAAGCAAGTTAGAATCTTGATGAGCTAGTTACAAAATTCAATATAAGTCGTCACATCAACAATGGGTTCGAGATCGACCTCAAGTACAGGTTCTAAATTAAGCAACTGACACATGTGGAGAGCTAGTGTCACAATTGATATGTTTGTCCTGCACACCGCCCCCCATCCAGTGGGCAGTGGTGGATAGGTTACAATCACTCAGTTACTACCTACAGTTAGCAAACTGGGCATGTTTGGCTAAAATTTCTGGTAGCAGATCATTTTGAATGAAATATTTACACATCGCTGGAACATTGGTTATAGAATTGTCTCTAAATTCACGTATTTTTTCGCACTCCATCACATAGTGACGGAGGGTGTGCGAATAATTTTGTTGACACAGTTTACTTTTGGTCAGGTCTACATCAGCAGATAATGAGAATTCCCAGAGATACTTGTAACCGAGTCTAAGTCGAGCAGTAGTAACATCTAGAAGTCTGCTGATTTTATTGGATGATCCATAGATGTGTGGCTCCCCTTGCATGACAGTATGATGATAGATGAAATTACTGGTGTCAATTTCACTTTGCCTCAGATCTACAAGATCTTGTTGAAGTTCTCGGTGTACTGCTGCTCTCAGATTGCTCATTGACATTCCAAGGTTACACTCAACGGCTCCTTTAAAGGCAGATTCTTTGGCTAACTTATCAGCTCTATCATGCATTCGGAGGCCAACATGAGATGGAGACCACATGAAATGGACTACATAAGAACAAAGGTAACTGCAAAAGGCCTATTGGCCCATACGAGGCAGCTCCTATCTATAACCACCCAAACCCACTCATATACATGTCCAACCCGCGCTTGAAACAATCGAGGGATCCCACCACCACGTTACGCGGTAATGGGTTCCACAAATCAACAACCCTGTTACCGAACCAGTATTTAGCCAAGTCTTTCCTAAATCTAAACTTAAACCAATTTATACCCATTGTTTCGTGTTCTGTCTTGAGTTGATACTTTTAATACCCTATTAATATCCCCTTTGTTATTGTTATGACCCTGGGTTCCTCAGTGGAAACCAGAGGTCAAAACTGAGCTAATAAACTGCCTTTTAGTATTGAAAACGCATCACGAGGTGCACTTGTTTGTATCTTCCCTGCCAGACGTAAGACTATTCTTGTTTTTCAAAGAGCATTTAAGACTGAGCTTGGGGTTGATTATTAAATAATAACATAGGCACCAACTATGTTTACTAATACTTTCTAATCATTTGTAAAGTAAACCTGAGTAAACTTGGTATAGGGCTGCGGTACGATTAGTTGAGCAGTCTGCCGGCAGCGAGCTAGCTGGGGGGAAGGAGACTGAGACTCGATCTTTTCTCTGAGCTGGCGTGGTGTGGACAGGATCCTCCTACCCTTCCTCCACGTTTCTTATTTCTGTGTCTTGAAATTCAAGCCAAGTATATACTGTGTACATTATTCAGTTTCTGGCATACACGTGTTCTATGTGTAGAGTAGTATACTTTGTGTGTAGTAGGTGTTTTTAGAGTTTATATTACTAAGTATTCTAAGGGGGGTCCCAGTGGAACCACGTGGTCTCCCTACCCTAAGCTGACTCTAGCTTCAAGTGTTTCCCTAGTAGAACTTTACCCTAGCTTGTGTTCAGTGTAAAACCTTGCATCCTGTCTATGTGGACCAAGGCTTTTAACGTAAGATAGTGTGGTAAAGTACTTATTATTTTTGTTATTGGTGTGAATGTATATGGGGGGTTGTTAAGGGGTTAATAAATAAGTAAGTAGTAACGGAGTATCCCTTCTTCCTGTGTGGGAGTGCTATGATCAACCTCTAGTCTGACATGGTCTAGTAGCAAGTTATTATTACTGTGGATAGTTTATTTTGGGGGCCGGGCCTTTTAGTTCTCCCATATTTGATAACTCTTAATGCTTACTATTGCCCCTACATCCAGATAATACTAGGCCCCATAGTACAGGCACTCCTTTATTTAACAGTTATGTCCATTCATCCACTTGTAAACTTCTATCATGTCACCCCTAACTCTTCGTCTTTCCAGTGAATGCAATTTAAGCTTTATTAATCTTTCTTCATATGAACGACTTCTAATTTGGGGAATTAACTTAGTCATCCTACGCTGGACACATTCAAGTGAATTTATATCTATTCTATAGTACGGCGACCAAAACTGAACTGCATAATCTAAATGGGGCCTAACCAGAGCAAGATATAGCTGAAGAACCACACCAGGTGTCTTGTTACTAACGCTTCGATTCATAAATCCCATTCTCAATCGACTTGAGAATGGTCCAGGACGGACCGAAACGTCGTCGTCCCTTCGACTTCTAGTGTGTGGTCTGGTCAACATACTTCAGCCATGTTATTGTGACTCATCGCCTGCAATAAATCCCAGTGTCCTATTTGCCTTATTACGAACATTCATGCATTGATCCTTTTGTTTTAAATTCTTACTAATCATAACTCCCAGATTCCTTTCGCAATCCGACTTCGCAATCTCAACACCATCTAGCTCGTATCTTGTAACTCTATCATCATTACCCAGCCTTAAAACTCTACATTTATCAGCATTAAACTGCATCTGCCAATCTTTTGACCATTCTAAAACCCTATTTAGATCAACTTGAAGTGATAGCGAGTCTTCCTTCGTGTTGATTTCCCTACCGATTTTTGTATCATCTGCAAATTTGCAGATGTTGCTACTCAAACCTGAATCTAAATCATTTATATATATTATAAACAACAGAGGTCCCAGGACAGAGCCCTGAGGTACTCCACTAACAACATTATCCCACTCTGACTTAACCCCATTTATACTAACTCTCTGTTTCCTTTGGAATAGCCATGCCCTAATCCAACTTAATATAGCACCCCCAATACCATGAGCTTCTATTTTTTTAATTAGTCTTTCATGTGGCACTGTATCAAAAACTTTGCTAAAGTCAAGGTACACAACATCACAATCCTTACCACTATCAACTGCCTCAACTATGCTGGAATAAAAAGTTAGCAAATTTGTTAAACATGAACGGCCATTTGTAAAACCATGTTGCGACTCATTTATTAATTTGTTTTTTTCAAGATGGAGACGAATTGTATTTGCAATTATCGATTCAAATAACTTTCCCACAATAGACGTTAGGCTAATTGGCCGATAGTTTGACGCAAGTGATCTATCTCCTTTCTTAAAAATTGGTACCACATTAGCTACCTTCCATAACTCTGGCACTCTGCCTAACTCTATTGATTTATTAAATATGGTAGACAGTGGCTCGGAAAGCTCCTCTTTGCATTCTTTAAGCACCCTGGCAAACACTTCATCCGGCCCTGGGGATTTGTTTGGTTTTAGTTTTACTAATTGTTTAATTACATCCTCCCTGGTAACTGCTAAACTAGTCAACCTGTCTTCATCCCCACCCACATAGACTTGTTCGGCTGAAGGCATATTGTTAAGTTCTTCTTTAGTAAATACAGATATAAAATATTTGTTAAAAATACTACTCATCTCTTTGTCATTATCCGTTATTTGACCTGTCTCAGATTTTAATGGACCTATCCTTTCCCTAGTCTTAATTCGATATAACTGAAAAAAACCTTTAGGATTTGACTTCGCTTGCCCTGCTATGCGAACTTCATAGTTTCTTTTTGCTTTCCTAATATCTTTTTTAACATTTCTAACCAGTTGTATGAATTCCTGTTCTAAACTGACTTCCCCATTCTTAATCCTTTTGTACAAAGCTCTCTTTTTACCTATAAGGTTCTTCAAATTCTTTGTTATCCACTTTGGGTCATTAGTATTCGATCTATTCAATTTGTATGGTATACTACGTTCCTGTGCTTTGTTTGGAATCTTCTTAAATAAGTTATATTTTAGCAGTCTCCGTGGTGTAGTGGTAAGACACTCGCCTGGCGTTCCGCGAGCGCTATGTCATGGGTTCGTATCCTGGCCGGGGAGGATTTACTGGGCGCAATTCCTTAACTGTAGCCTCTGTTTAACGCAACAGTAAAATGTGTACTTGGATGAAAAAACGATTCTTCGCGGCGGGGATCGTATTCCAGGGACCTGCCCGAAACGCTACGCGTACTAGTGGCTGTACAAGAATGTAACAACTCTTGTATATATCTCAAAATCTCAAAAAAATATATTAAATCCACATCGAAATCCCCTTTTACGTCACCTATCGCTGGGTTCATGTCTCGCTCCAAGGCCGGCCCACACCCATTACCCAAGACTTTCCAATCTATTTGACCCAAAAAATTTCTTAGCCTATTAAAATCAGCTTTTCGAAAATCTGGCACATTTTAAGATTAAGTTAAACATAGCGGAAAACCATACAGAAATAACACACCAAAACATTAAATATACAGAACAAGGCTACCAGCACTGCAAACACACACGGAGAGGCACCAACACAAAACGAAAATAATAATAATAACAACAAGAAAGGAATACAAGTATACAACAAACAACAAGAAAAGCACAATGGCAAAACACAACAAAAAGCATAAACCCAGACCGGGTCACGCCAACAGCCTGAAGGGCACTCAACACTACACAAACAAGCGCACAACAGCATCATAAAAACATAGAACCACAAAGCATAACACAAGAACATGACATCCACAACCAGACACACACTAACCAAACCCCGGACCACACAGGAACCGGACACACACAAGCCACACAAATAAACCCACAACCCCAAACCGGAGCACGCAGGAACCGGGAAACAAACCCGCCCCACCCACTCACACACACCCGATCCGCAACCCACAACCATGCACACAAATGGAAACAACCCACAACACACAATGCACAAAGGAATCATGAGTGAGGAATACATTTCTCTGAGACAGGACCATACGTCTCCGCAGCCCAATAAAGTAGGGCTGCGGAGACGTCCCCCCCAAAAAAGTAGGGGGACGATGCCGCCGTGGGCCCTTCATAAACTCGGGAATCTCCAGATCAGGTGGAAACAGTCACTCTTTAAGCTCACCGACGCAAGTCGCATAACGAGGCTGGGGGAGCGCAAACCACGTCCTTCGATGAAGCGTACGAGGGCTGCCGAGACGGCCGCGTCGCCGTACGCACAGGAGCAGGGGACAATCGACGAGATGGTAACACCTCCACCGAGACCGCAGGAGACACTGAAGAGACAGCCGGAGATGAAAGAGGCGTCAAGACCGCAGCCGATGAAACGGGGAACGAGGAAGGGGTTAGAGAACCCCCAGAGCGAGCAGCCTTTTTCAACACCATCGGGGTGGCCATCACCAGGCCACCCCGCTCACCACGAACCTCAGCAGGGGGAACCACCCCCCACGAAGAACCGGAGTCATCCGACGCAGGCGACGCACCCGAAGCAGGGGCCGCAGACACCATATCTGAAGTGGAGGCCGAAACACGGGCACTGGCATCCCCAGGCAAATGCACCTCCGCCATTACCGTAGTATGCAACGCAACCGGAGCCACCCCTCCGTCGCCGGCAGATCCACAAGCGTCGAAGTCGCCAACGTCTGCCCATGTGAAGAAGAACGCCGGGAACGCTTAGGCTCTGGCCGCACATCATCAGACCCGGAGGCTGACTCAGACACATGCAACACAAGCCGGGCGAACCGATGCACGTGCAGCATCCTCAACCACATGGGGCACCAGGCCAGGCACAGGAGGAAGCGCCGGATCCACCCCATCACCCAGCACAGCCGGAACAGACGGCGAGGGTGCAGGGACAGGGTCAGACACAGCAGAGGATGAACTGGAAGACGGGGGGGATTCGAGCAGAAGGCAGTCGGAAGAACCTCAGGGACACTAGTCGGAGCAGGACGATCACCAGGCGACGACACAACCTACGGAGGAGAGGCGACAACAACAAGGGGCGCACCAGGCGGCGCAACAGGCGACACAGGAGGCACATCCACGGCTGAAGAGACGTTCACATCCACCGAATCCTCCTCTACAGGAAGCGGTGGAAAATCCTCCTCACTGAAGAGGTTCACGGGTGCAACAGCAGGCGCAGAACAGTCAGCAGCCTGATGGCCCACAACGAAAAACACGTCCGAGGTTGGCGGGCGTAAAACACCCGAACGTTGTAACCCATAAGACGCACAGAGGATGGAATATCTTCCCGGAGCCTCATGCCCAGGGTGCGAATGTTAGTCCTCACACCCTTAAGTGGACTGGAAAACACCACATTCACCCGCACATTCAGTTGCTTACACTGCGCCAAACCGGCCGAAGTACCGCCGTAGCAGACCCTCCGGAAACTCCAATGGAGCCCCATGCACACTGACGTAAGTGATGGCACCACTCCGATCAGAGAGGGTCACAGTGCCCGCTCCATCCGGCAGGAGTAATGTCCGCCCCTCGTATCGACGGAGAAAGTCTCGATACGCCAATTCCTCCGTGAACTTCACTATCGCTCGACGTGCCGTCACCAGCTCGACTCCATATATGTTTATCACAGGGATATGAAGCAACTCACACAGCGCTATCTCTGGGTACCCAGCCCGGCCGGAAAACTCGAGGCCCGCAGACTGAGCCCGCAGTACAGGGGGAAGAGGGATCCCCATCGTGAACTCCACGTCAACACAGGCGGGCAGAGACACACACGCCCCCAATCGGCCAAAATGGCAAACAACCACCAACTGCCGGAGAGAGCAGTGAACACGTCCACCCTCCACGACAGCTAGCAGTCCACTCCACATAATAGAAGTAGGATACCTCGATTGTTTCACGTGTAGGTGAGACATATATATGAATGAGACAGTGTCAGACCACGGAGGAAGAATTGAAACAGAAATTTCCTTAAGTACCTAACTGGTCGTGGTCTGACACTCTTACATTTTTCATCACGTGGTAATTTTCGTGATTTACATATTATATATATATATATATATATATATATATATATATATATATATATATATATATATATATATATATATATATATATATATATATTATTAAATATGACCGAAAAAGTAAGATTAATAATTCTAACACGAATTTTCTCAATCTTTCGTACATTACGCTTCACTGTTGGAGGTAAATCAAAAATCACTTCTCCAAAATTCATTTTTATTTCTAGTCTGACGCGACACGGGCGCGTTTCGTAAAACTTATTACATTTTCAAAGACTTCACAAATACACAACTGATTAGAACGTATCTCTGATTTTATATCTACATTTGAGTGAGGTGGGAAGGGTGAACAGCCAATTATTGCACAACTATATTCTACCCACCTCAAGACTCCGCTCCAATATAGAAGCATCAAGAAATATGGACCAATAGGCTTTCTACAAACACTTCTATTCAATACCCATTGTTTCTGTTCTGTCTTGTGTTGATACCCTATTAATATCCCCTCCTGTTCTGTCTTGTGTTAATGCCACATCACCCTTCCCACCTCACTCAAATGTAGATATAAAATCAGAGATACGTTCTAATCAGTTGTGTATTTGTGAAGTCTTTGAAAATGTAATAAGTTTTACGAAACGCGCCCGTGTCGCGTCAGACTAGAAATAAAAATGAATTTTGGAGAAGTGATTTTTGATTTACCTCCAACAGTGAAGCGTAATGTACGAAAGATTGAGAAAATTCGTGTTAGAATTATTAATCTTACTTTTTCGGTCATATTTAATAATATATGTCTACAGGAAAGACTGCTACCAAAATATACTAATATATATATATATATATATATATATATATATATATATATATATATATATATATATATGAATGAGATTAGATTAGGTGGTTATAAATAGGAGCTGCCTCGTATGGGCCAAAAGACCTTCTGCAGTTACCTTCATTCTTATGTTCTTAAATATCAGAATGTTATTTAAGTAGAATAGTAGTAGAATTCTCCTTAAAGTATATAGTTGCTCTAGAAAAACAGATCTCGTCAAGACTACCGTATTTACAAAAAATAAAGCTAAGAATATAAAACCTGAGCAACAATAAGCAGACCCTTTTCTACACTGTAATAAGAGCATCAACAAAACTAAAGAGTGATCACACATTCTGGACTGTGTTCGGCGGCAACCACAGTTGCTTACTAACCAACCAGCAAGAATAATTAGGTGTTCTTCATACCAACAACAACAAATTATACCTGCTGGTTGGTTACTAAGCAATTGTGGTTGCCGCCGGCTTCCTGTCCTCGTCGAGGCCACTAGAAAGATAGTGCCCCCAGGTAAATTCAGATAAAATAATACTCCTCCATATGTTTATAGGAATTAAGTCCAACGCCAAATCAAGCGAGACATAAAATGTGAGAGTCGAACAATTTCTGCAGGACGAGCGCAAATCTCCATCTCTCTTCTCCTTGATGTGATGACTTATATTGAATTTTGTAACTAGCTCATCAAGATTGTAACTTGCTTAGCTAAATGAATTGTGGGGTTCAGTCCCTGAGCCCATTATGTGCCTCTGTAACCCTTAAATTATTTCCACTACCGCCCACAAGATGGGTATGGGGTGCATAATAAATGAACTAAACTAGAACTCTTCTCCTTGAGCATGGGAGCAAAACTTCCCTCTCTTGTTATAATTATAATTTATATAGAACACTTCATGCATACGCGATAATCAATGCACAATCGATAAAGTCAAAGGAAAACCATATAATCAAAGTTTTATAAGTTTAAAGGGTTAGTATTATGGTTAGAATTTTTCAAATTTTGGTGTGCTCGGACATGCAGTTTCTGGTATGGCTAAATAATAATAATAATAATAATTCAGTCTAGTCATATATATGGTATTCCGAGATTTTTATAGGGGTAACATTAGCATTATTACATTTTTTCGCGCTAATCCCGACCCAATAGTAATTATTATTATTATTATTTTTTTTGAGATATATACAAGAGTTGTTACATTCTTGTACAGCCACTAGTACGCGTAGCGTTTCGGGCAGGTCCCTGGAATACGATCCCCGCCGCCAAGAATCGTTGTTACAGCCAAGTACGCATACTCAAGTACCAGTTAAACAGAGGCTACAGTTAAGGATTTGCGCCCAGTAAATCCTCCCCGGTCAGGATACGAATTGACAAAGCGCTCGCGGAACGCCAGGCGAGTGTCTTATCACTACACCACGGAGACTGTTAAAGATTGAGAATTATAATGATAAATGATTGATAAAGATTGAGAATGATTGATAAAGAATTACTGGAAAGATTAAGCGAAGCTAGCCTCTTCCAACCTCAAAGAGAAACATTTCCAATTATAAATATAGATAGACAAGAAAATAACAAAACATGAATGTATGAATCGCAAAGGCAACATAACTCACCTGAAATACTTTCGAAATGCTGGAGCACGCTCTTGTATATAAAAGCATACTGTTCCTGAAAAGCAAAATTCAACTAATAAAATATCCGTTTTAAATGTACAAAAGGTTATGTCTGGCTAAATAAACAAGTACGCTACGCATGTCTGGTTATATAAGAATCAAGCATTGTATTTAATATTAATTTTGCATCATCTTGTGTGTAAAGCATACCACCAACAGCATATGCCACATCCCCCACCCCCCTCCTACATGTATCCAGACGCAGCTGGGACAACGTAACTGTCTCAAGTGAACATACTATCAAACAAGGATAGTCTGCCTTGTCTACATCTTATAATCTTGGAAACACCCTTCTCGTGCTGCCCCAATTAAGTAGCTAGCTGTAGCTTGCGGTCTAATAATAATAATAATAATAATAATAATAATAATAATAATAATAATAATAATAATAATAATAATAATAATAATATTTTATTTACAAGAAGGTTTAATGGGTTGGTGAGATCACATTAGTGAAATTTTTACATTCTTGCACAGCCCCCTAACACGCATAGCGTTTCGGGCAGGTCCTTAATCTAACATATCAGGTAAGATGACAAATTACATTGTAGCAAGGTTTTATATCAGCAATATAAATTGACATGTGATTACACTGGTACAGATTAAGTACTTAATTAATCTTAGGTACTAATATAGGGGAAGTGGGTAGTACAAGATACAGTGAGTTTGAAGCACGAGGTAGGAAACTATGAGGATGAAATTAGATACTTTTTTTTTTTTTGAATAGGGCATAGGTTGGACAATTTTTTAATTCATCAGGGAGTGAGCTCCAAAGATTGGGCCCTTTTATTTGCATGGAGTGTTTGCACAGATTTAGCCTGACTCTGGGGATATCAAAGAGATATTTATTTCTGATGTGGTGATCATGGGTTCTATACCTATCAAGAAAAAGTGTTCAGATAAAGATTAGCATTTAGGAACAAGTTGTCTGAAGACAGAGTTTTTTAAACCTCTAATAACAGATTTTTGTTGAGTAATGATAGGCTTGAGATAATCTGCAGTGGTTGAACCCCATGAACAGATACCGTATGTAAGATAGTCTAGTGAAGCTTTGAGAAGTGCACAATCCTTCTGTGACCCATGCTACCGAGAGTCAGGACCAAAATCTGTCTCTGTGAAGTGAGAACAGCTTGGGAACCAGGGGTTGGGTCATAAACAGAAACTCCTGATAAAATACCTATGGGGTGGTCGGCCGCCCCCGCAACACATCGTGACTCTAGGGAAACAACCTGACAACACACGGCGAGCAGTCTGGACTCGCCTTCGTAAGCTAGCAGTAATATCGTCAGTGCCTCTCCTTTCTTGCTTGGGTTTGTTCGTGATAAACAAACTTACTGTGAGTGTTGACGCGTGTTTGTGTAGCTTTTGTCTGGGAATATGTGATGAACTAAAGATAGGCGAAAGACCAACAACCTGCTGCCTGAAGAGATGAACAAGACATGATCGTTGCCTCGGACGAACACCACCTTGCAGCCTTGGCTGCCACAAGTTTCCTCCACCTGGTGGGATCTTAAGACCTGCATATATTACATATAAGTAGTGTTGACAATTCCTGTAGCGGAAGTTATGAGAGAGATCATTGTTTTCTTTTCCATTTATGTTTAATTCCACCCACATAGCGTGTTTTCTCTATAGGTCGTTTCCCTTTTTTCCCCTCCAGATACGGATTCGATTTCCTTCCGCGCGAGATGGTTTACGAGTGATTTCTTCCCCCGGGTAGTGAGTGATACCTTTTTCCGAAGCGTGACTTTTTGTTGAAGAGTTTGATAAACTAGTTGCGTGATTGCGAATACAATACTTAGCGACTGGCCCAGATTCCCGAACGTTTTGGTGACTAGCGTTTTGGCCGGATGCATGTGTACTTGTGTTACGTAGCTATTCTTCCTGCCATTGTTGCAGTAGCGGTAGATCTGTGCCTTAATAGCAGAAGTTTTGGGCATATTTCTGGGCTGGTAGATTGTGGCCTAGTGTGTCGTTGCCTTGTTATCCAGACGCTGAGGCCCCAGGCTGGCGAGGGGGTTCTTGCTATAGAGTCCTCTTAATGCTGGCGCCTTTCCTCTCCTCATGCAGCCTGCTCTGGCCGTGGTTTGACGATGGTTTTTTTTCCCCCGGATGCATCCCACAGCACTTGTCTAACTACCGGGTTCCTAGTTACTGCTAGATTCACTGAGGCATGAGTTTTTTTATTTATAAAATAAATACAATACGAACAAAAAAGACTGGAAAACAAAATACAAACATGTAACAAGAAACAGACATGAAGTAAAAAAAAACAAAAAACACAAAACCCAACATTTTGTACAGTAAACAGAACAAAAAACACAAACAGGAATAAAGCAAAAAGTACAGAAAAAACATATAAAACACGCACCAAGACAAGCCATACATGGCACAGTGAAAGTACAGTATACACCGGAACACACAGACCGGGTGAGACAAACCAGACTCACACACATGCACACACACAGGAAACAAAAACCGGCACACGCAGGAAATGGGAAACAAAGCCACAACCACACCCCAATCTCACAGGAAAAAAAGCAGAACACGCAGGAGCCGGCGAAAGAAACACAAAACACACACACAACATAGACACGTGAAAGCACACCACACACCGAACAGCACAAGTATACAACACAGGAAACGACATAGAAAACACATAAGGAACAGTACAATCAAAACACAACGCCCAAACAGGGTGAGCCAAAACCACAGATACAAGAAATACATAAAGCAGAAAAAGCAACAATTACAGGGAGTACACGTCAGTCACAAGCACTATACATATTTATCCGGGAACTCCCGCGCCGGAAAGCGCAAGCAGTAAGCCTTCCAAATCAGCATGACGTCATCGGACACCTGTCCACCAGGAGGCGCATAAGGTCGAGGCATCAGATCCGGCACCCCAGAAAGAAACCTCTTCGCCCACGTCACCCAAATGGTAGAAGAGCACCACGGGATCAGACGCACCCTGTCATCCAAAGTGAGTTCCAACGGATACGACTCACAGGTCCTAACCCCGGAGGCCGTGACCACAGGGAAGGGTACCGCATGAGGGGGTCGAGCACTGGGTGGCGTACTAGGTCTGTCACAGGGAGCCGCACTGGGCTCCGCACGGGGGCTTCTCACCGGAGGGATCCGCAGGGGACGTAGGCACGCCAGGACCTCCACCACCGGGTACCCAACTCGCCACTCGTTCCCTTGGACTCACCACTCGTCCCCTTGAACTTGCCACTCGTCCTCTTTGACTCGGCACTCATCCGCTTGGGCTCGGCACTCGTCCCCTTTGGCTCGGCACCCGTCCCCCTTGGACTCGCCACAGAAGCAGAGGCCTCCCGGTGTACATCCTTCTTCAGCATCACGACGAGGTCCCGATCACCAGGGGCAACCTCCCATGGTGGGGAGCCAACAGCAGGAGGTGCAGGGGTCGACACAGGAGGCAGTACAGAGCCCCTCATAGGACTATCTACCACATCGTCACACTCGGCAGCCCACTCACAACGGGGCAACACACTCCTAGCCGTCCGAGAATGCTTGGACACAGGTCGCTGATCATCCGAACTGTCGCCTCCAACAGGAGGCACCCGAGTAGAGCCCCCCGGCCGGCTGCACCACACCATACAAAGCTCGAGCCTGAAGCACAGCAGCCTCAACAACAGGGGGTATAAACCCACACCCCACAGGCGACACAGGAACTGGAACTGGAGACGGCAATCAGAGCGGTGGAGGCGAGGAAGCAAGCGGAGGCGAGGGACCAAGCGGAGGTAAAGGAGCCGGCTGATGCGCGGAAGCCGACAGTGGGGGCGGGCCCTCACCAACCACCACCCCGACACCCACATCACCAACCGCACGTACGGGTACGGCAGCGAAGGAATCCAGGAACACCACCGGGGCAGCAGATGGCAGGGACCCCCCCCCCCACCACATCATTACAAGGCGACAGGTCCGTAGCCACCAACGGGAGAAAGTCCTCTGCTCGAAACAAATTCACAGGAGCCGCCGCCACACCAGTGCAGGCCGCCGCCAGGTGCCCCTCAAGGCCACACCGAAAACACAACATGGGCTGCTGAGCGTAAAAGGCACGTATGATGTAGCCCATCGACGTGACGGACGACGGAACAGGAGACTGAAGACGGAGAGCGAGGGTCCGAGTCCTGTTCGAGATCCACCGTCACCGGTCAGAGGAGAGTACAGAGTTCATCTGGAGGGACACCACTGCCCCATATTTACCGAAGTAACGACGAATCAGCCCCTCCGAAAACTCAAAGAGGACCCCATGAAGCACCACATATGTGAGGGTGCAGCAACGATCAGACACAGCGATCGTATCACCGTCAGCAGGGAGGGAAAACGAGCGACCATCATGATGGGCCACAAAATTTTGATAAACAGTCGGAGAGCTGAACTTCACAAATGCTCAATGGTTAGTGAAGACCTGCACCCGACAAACATCTGCCACATTCACACGTTCCGTGTCCAGGATGACCACTTCCACTGCTAGGTACGACGCCTTGTCAGAGAAGTCGAGACCAATCGTCTCCGAACGGCGGATAGGGGAAAGGGGGTTTCCCATGACGCCAAGCAAACCGCCGAAGGGTCGCGTCCCCGGTCCACACACCAACAGCCGAGTCAACACCCTTGAGGTGAAAGCAAACGTGCCCAAACGCCTCTGTTCTGCCGTGGAAAACGAATCCAAGATATATCTGTTGTGAATATATTGTTGTTTTAGATTCATCTACTCGGAACAAAAGTTCCAAGTAGCATGGGCTATGGTGGGCCCGTAGTGGATTTACCTAGCACAGAAGCGGGGCTGTAACTGGTCGTTGTGATTGGTGGCGGGTGTGTTGGTGGGGCGGCAGCTGGGGCTGTTTCCTCAGAGGGTTTGATGGTAGCCTTGGACTCTGCCTTTATTCCAACAGCCCTTCTGATTTTGTGATATATGTTTCCATGGCTTTGGCTTGGGAAAATCGGAGCCCTTTGTACCTAGTGCTCCTTTCCAATTTCGTGTCCCAGGAAAATTAAGTAATGAATATAATGAAGCAATTTTTTTTTGGGGGGAACACTGGTTCCTGCTCTGATCCCTTCTTTCCTACAAGGTGTTCACCTGAGAAAACTATCATCTGCTGGGTTTGCTTCAGAATGTCTTATTTCAGGTTGCTCACCTTTTTTTTTATATTCATTATTTATGTGCAAGAAGTACATTGGGTTTGTGAGAGTACATAACATTGGTGTTCTTACATTCTTGCGAAGCCACTAACATGCATATGCGTGTTCATCTATCTTTCTATTCAGTACTTTCGCCTCTCTTTCTATTCAGTATTTTCACTTATCTTTCTATTCAGTACTTTCGCCTATCTTTCTGTTCAGTACTTTCGTCTATCTTTCTATTCAGTTTTCTGGATATTGTGTGGATCTCTGATGCCAAAGTCCTCTAGCCGCAAAGAGAAAAAACAGATTCTGGCGCTTGTCCTGGGAATAGGAAAGTCAACGAATATAAATTGGAAATAAGATTGTTATTTTATGTAACAAAACACCGCGCAACATAATAGACGTAGGATCGCTTCAAATTTAGATTTGACAAATATATGAATGAATTAAGCGTGAAATATAAGTACGAATACTAGCTCCTTTATATTTAGATAGGAGTTAGTATGAGTCAATAGGCTTTCTGCATTTTCCTTATTGTTGTTTTTATAAGGTGCTTATAAGGTGTAAGGTATTTTTATAAAAGCCTTCAGACGTGTAGGATCCTGCCAATTCGAATGAAGAACGTTTTTTAACTATAGGGTTCAGGTCAGACGACTTCTAACTTGTTTGCAGGCTAATCCCGAAACACAGTCGGGATTAATAGGTTTACAACCAGATCACGAATTATTTCTGGGGGTTTAGAAGCATTCATGTGTGAATGCTGATTTGTTTGTATCTTTACAAACTACAAAACAGACCTACTCTGTTTACCATAAATCTACCTATAGTAAGTGGTTACTGATGTCTGATGTTAGCATACCATCAACATATTGTTAGTAGTACACCTTTGTTTAACAAGTACAAAACTAGCTAAAATTTGTGAATAACAGCGACAATTAGACTAAAGACTAACCTGAGTCTGAACCATGTTGGGGCGGTGGACACGCATCCTGAGGGTGCAGTAGAAGATGTCGACGCTGTGGGAGTACTCCATCTCCGTCATGAGGCAGTACACGGCAATGAAGGTTCCCGTGCGCCCCACACCAGCACTGTCAGGGCAGGGTATACTTAGTATGGAATTTTAATACATTTCTTAATAACTTGTTTATTTTGTAAAACTAAATAAAATGCTTCAAGCAAAGCATTTCGTCCTATCTGCTAACACATTGCTATTTTCAGATGAAATAACATAATTTAAATTCAAAATAGGATTGCATATTACACAGCAATTTGCCATTAATATTACCAAATCATAATTATAGACTTCTTCATTACTGATGCATAATTTTTAATGATTATCCCTAACAATTATTTTTTTTTACTGAGTGGATCTAATTTTCCCTGGAATACGACCCGCCAAATCGTTTAACAGGGTACCCATTCACTGCTGGGTGAACAGAGGCTACAGTTAAGGATTGGCGCCCAGTCAATCCTCCCCGGCAAGGATACAAACCCAGGCCAAAGTGCTTGCGAAGCGCCTGGCGAATGCTTTACCACTGCACCATGTGGACCGATTTAAGAATAATTCTAAGTATTTTTTTTATTAGTGCAAGATATAAAGATATAATTACTCAATTATTTTAACTTCTATCTGACGATTTCAGTTACAATACAAATATTTATTCAGGTAAAGTTCATACATACAAGGTAAGGTACAAAAGTTGATGGATTTATAGATAGAGCTAGTACATACAATGCCTAAAGCCACTATTACGCAAAGCGTTTCGGGCAGGAAAAACACTAAGACTAAAACTTAATACTAATTGAGATTAAAGTATAAATTGTGTTGAGAAAAAATAAAAAAAAAAATTGGGAAAAGGGGGGGGGGAGAACATGGCAGAAAAAAAGCAAAAATGCAATTTGGTCAACAAACAGCATTGTTTAAAATAGAAGACATGGGTTGACATTTTGGGGGTGAGGTAGGTTACATGGAGTTGATTAGGTAGTACTTGGTTTAAAGCTTAAACTGGTTGGGAGAGGTACAATCTTTAACATAATTGGGAAGGTCATTCCACATTCGAGGCCCCTTGATTTGTAAAGCATTTCTAGTTTGACTAAGTCGTACTCTTGGAATATCAAATAGGTATTTGTTTTTGGTGTGGTGCTCATGGGATCTATTACAACCTTCTAGGAAGCTTTTAAGGTCAGGATTGACATTACAGTTCAGCGTTTTATATATATAAAATACACATAAGAGGATGTGCAGCGACTTAACATCTAACATATTCAGAGATTTGAGTAAGGGTACCGAGTGATGTCTGGGGCCAGAGTTAGATATTGTCCTAATAGCAGCTTTGTGTTGAGTAATTAGAGGACGTAAATGATTTTGGGTAGTAGAACCCCAAGCACAAATACCATAGTTGAGATAAGGATAATTGAGAGAATAACAGTGTCACCAGGGCAGGGTGAGGTACATAATATCTGATCTTAGAAAGAATGCCAACAGTTTTTGAAACTTTTTTTGATATATTTAGAATGTGTCCCTGGAAATTCAGCTTGCGGTCAATGAGAACACCAAGGAATTTGCCATCTACTTTGTTACAAATTTGGGTATTGTTAATCCTGAGATTTATTTAATTTGAGGATTTATTGCCAAACAAAATATAGAAAGTTTTTTCAATATTGAGGGTGAGATTGTTGGCAGTTAGCCAGTGATGGACTTTATTCTGCTCAGTATTCACTGTGACATTTAGAGCAAGGGGGTCAGTTCCTTGTAATACGTCACGTAGTTTACTTTCTACACTGCCTTTTAAAATCGTGTTGTATTTCCGTGGTGAAAACAGAGCAAAATGGCACGAATATCGTCAAAATGCAGCCTCACCCTCCTGTAGTTGCGTTCTTCACGTGGTTATACAAACTGCGACAATCCCGGATTAGGAGATTGTCATAATCAAGTTTTATCAACTAATTATGTTCGAAGTTACGACTTTAAGCACACTTCACACCTTTGAGCCCATACTGCAAATATAAGTACACTAAAGTCTAACCTGGGCACAACAACCTAGCAAAGAATTGTTTTTCTTAGAATTAGAAAATCTATTTCATAAAATTAATAAGTTACATTGTTGTATTTATTTATGTATTTGAAAGTTATTTTTACTTCAAATTCAAATTCAAAATTCAAATGTTTATTCAGGTAAAGTACATACATACAAGGTGTGATACAAATATTGATGAATTTATAGATAGAGTTAGTACATACAATGCCTAAAGCCACTATTACGCAAAGCGTTTCGGGCAGGAAAAACACTAAAAACTAAAACTTAATACTAATTGAGATTAAAGTATAAAATGTGTTGAGAAAATATAAAAATAAAAAAGGGGGGGAACATGGAAGAAAAACAGCAAAAATACAATTTGGTCAACAAACAGCATTGTTTAAAAAATAGCAGACATGGGTTGACATTATAGGGGTACTCGTCAAACAGAGTATGTATATGTGCATAGAAATTGGCCACAAAGTCTCTTGTGTATGCTAGGTATGGACCACTCTATCCTCCATTCAAGGTTTAATTTGTCTTGTGTTCTTCTGGACATCTTCAGCGTTGACGGTTGAAAATTATTAAAGGAGTCCGTGATGACTTTGTTTAGGTCGTCAGCACAGGCTGCATCTGTGGTGGCTATTCGTGTCTCTCCCATCTACGAATAAGTCCTACGAATAAGGACTCCCAAAGGGAGTCCTTATTCGAATTTCTACCGTCATTCATACCACAATTCGTGACCGTTGGCACGATCAAATGGTCTGGTATTACAGATAACAAATTGAGTACTCTTAAATGAAACCTATCCTAATGGCCCTTCCTCCTACTACCATAATAGGCAGTGGGAAACTGCCTATCCAACCGTATCAGCCACATACGCTTAACTCTTGGGCACACGTAGACTCGGCCCGTCTCTCGAGTTGCCACAACGGACAGAAAATGGTGTATTGAAACGATGGAACCTAATCCAATCTATCGACCATGCATAGAAAACGTAAATTATAGCTCCCCTTTATTTGTCCGTTCGGGATTTTGACATCAAAATGCGGTGTACTGTGTAAAGAGGACGGGTTGCAGCAACATCGTCCTGCTCCTTATTGTTCGACTGCATGGACCCGCCTACTGTCCATATGCTTCCTATTGTAGATTATCTAGATGATCGTAGGTCATGCTTTCCCGGTGTCCCTCTCAGTCACTCCTAGGTCCTTCAGTTGAACCCTTGGCGATGTCGCTCATTGTATGTTTCTTGCTCTCGTATACGGATCTTAAGGAATATGTAGGTCCTTTTGCTGAACCTGCGATACAGACGGTGCTGCACAGTATTCCCGGCTTGGTGCTTTCTTTTGATAATTACTTATTTACTTGAGCAGTCGGATCCTACTTGCAATTTGACCATCGCTTAAAAGTAATCAGGCTGTTTGTGATGAGATTATGAATAGAGATAAGGTCACAAGAGGCTGCCATCTAGTGGCTGTGGCAATGAGACTTGTGACTTGCCGTTAGGTTTTCTAGAGTTCCCATTGGCGGCAACGAGTCACGTGACTAGGGATCTTAAATAATTGAGCTTATTTATTCATAATATAATTTATTGTGTCGGGGGAGTGGAAAAGGCAGCTAGAGTGTATTTTTACACGTTAGGCTTATATCGAGGTCATCCCCCCCTCCCCCTAGGATAGTACTGACCCCGCCCATGATGGGACCCCACAACAAGCTGACTAACTCCTGAGTACCTACCATTCACCTGGATTTGGAGTTGCCCGCTAGCTGCCGTGAGGTGAAGACGTGTCACCTGGCCTCTCTGGTAGCTGGGGTGTTTGCCGATTTCGTCGCTAGGGGGTGTGGGCGTCTCTGCCCCCCCCCCCTGCTATTGCTGCCTGGTTACGTGTTGACGTGGCGAGCTTGACATGGGAGGCCATCTTCCCCCTGTTGTGCGAGTGAACTCCGTGGGCCTAGAGTTCACTGGTCGTGCTGGATATACGGAAATCAAGTTGGTTATGTATGATATGCTCCGTATCCCAGTGATGGCCATCTTGAGCTTGTAACTGCCCACTGGGTTGTTCTCAAGTTCGTGAGGGAGGAGTACCGTGACTTCCTCCAACGTTATGAGGGGCGTTCGTTGCCGGGTGGTGCCGGCTCTGTGTCCATCTCGGACCGTAGTGGTGCCCTGACTTATGTCAGTGTGCATGAGACGCCCCTGGAGTTTCCCGAGGACCTCCTCCGATGTTACTTCCAGAGGTTTGGTGTGGTCGTCAGTGTGCGGGTGAACACGCTCTCCTCAGGGAGGTATGCAGATAGGCGGACGAACATTCACACCTTGGGGATGCGCCTGCGGTCGGATATTCCTTCTTCTGTCCGGCTTATGGGGTACTACGTCCAGGTGTACTATGCCCGGCAACCCCGTACCTGTTTCCGGTGTGGCCTGTTGGGGTATCAGGTTGCCGGGTGCACTGCGGCTCCGGTTGCTCCTGTCAACTTGTTCCGGGAAGAGGATTTCCCGCCACTCCCTCTGGAGGAGGACTCTGGGGGTGAGGAGGTGAACGTCCCGTTAGCTGGTGAGGCTCCCCCTGCGTCGCCCGACATTCCTCTGGTTGTTGCGGACCCTCCTCCAGGTATTGCAGTGCCGTCGGATGGTCTACCTGCTCCTGTCGATGTCCCCGCTGCTCCCGTGGACCTTCCTGGTGCTCACTGTGAGGCGTCGCCGTCTTCTCCCTCGGCTTCGGCTGCTGCGCCTGGCCCTGTGTCCTCGCCTCGGGTCCCGGCTGTGCTGGGTGCTGGGGTGGCTGCGGAGCCTCTTGCTGTGTGTGGCCCAGTTCCCCCTGTGGTAGAGGCTGCTGCCGTTCTGCGTCAGGTGTCGGTTCGTCCGGCTAGTGGTGCCCGTGTTTCTGGGTCCGCTTCCGGCCAGAGCCCAAACGTTCCCGGCGTTCGTCTTCTGACTGGGCCAATGTTGGTGACTTCAGTGACTGTGGGTCTTCGGGTGTTGACGGTGTGGATTCGGATGCGTCGATGTCTCTGCAGTTAGTGGTGGCAGAGGTCCATGTGCCTGCTGGTGCTGGTGCCCGTGTCTCGGACGTGCCTTCTGTTCCTTCTCCGCCAAGGGACTCTCCGCAGTGGGGGGTGGTGGCTTCCGCTGCCAGGGATGGTGTGGATGCTGGTGCTGGGCGTGGCCTGGTAGTGACTTTACGGAAGGATGCGTGCCGTCCAGGTTCCCAGGTCTGGTGGTGTGCCCGTGGCCGCAGGTGCCCCTGTGGTGGTGCCCTCTGTCAAGTTCACTCGTCTGAGGATGGCCATTGGGGCCCTTGGGGACGTGTTGCCGGCATCTGTGATGCCGCCGGGTCACTGGGCAGTGATTGCCGAGTTACTGCTGTTTGACGAGCCGGAGAACTTTCATGGTGGGCAGGTTCCCATGATGTGGGGGCGAGTGGCGACTACTCGCCTCATAAGTAATACCATCTGGGTCCCCTATTTGCGGGTGTTTGTTGCCAGGGTTCCGGATGTTATGGCGTTCCCGGTGGATGAACAAGACCCTTGGCGGTGGCTGCTCTGGGAAGCGTTCCATGTCCGGTTCCCACAGGTGCGGTTCCCGGGCAAGTATGTCCGCTGATTTCCTGTTTATTTGCTTTATGTAGTGTTGTGTGCCCCTCAGGCTGTTTGTTTGCCCTATTGTATTATGTACCCGTGCCTCTCCCTTTGTTTGTTGCGAGGCCGGTAGTTTGGTGTGCGTGTTCTTGTTCATGTATTTGTGTTTGTGTTGTTACTCTGCCCTGTGTGTTATATTTATGCCTTACATGTTGTATTGTTTTTTTTCATTTTATTTTGTTTTTCGTTTGTTTTTATCTATGGCTTGTTGTATGTTATGTTCTCTTGCGTTATGCTTCATGGTGTGCTTATTTGCCGGTCCTTCAGGCCGGTGCTTCTGTTTGATTCGTTTCATATGTTCCTAATGTTTTGTTTTCTTGTTTTTATTTGCTAGTTATTGATTGCTTGTTTATATTGTTTTGTATTTTGTGTTATGTTCTTGTATTGCTGTCTGCTGTGTTGCTCATGCGTTTATCCAGTTTTGCTACTTGTTGTACTGTGCTGTCGGTCCTTCTGGCCGGTGTTTTTTTGTTTAGTTTTGTTGGGTTTCCTATGTTGTTTTATTGTATTTATTGTATTTCACTTGCATGCTTGCATGTAAAAAAACAAAAAAATCACCTGGATTGTATGGGTCTCGAACCGTGGATACTCACGGGTGGGGGAGCTGAGTGGACAGAGCTCGGGATTCGTAGCCCTGAGGTTCTGGGTTCGATCCCCGGTGGAGGCGGAAACAAATGGGCAGAGTTTATTTTGCCCTGATGCCTCTGTTCACCTAGCAGTAAATAGGTACCTGGGAGTTAGACAGCTGCTACGGGCTGCTTCCTGGGGGTGTGTAACAAAAAAAGGAGGCCTGGTCGTGGACCGGGCCGCAGGGACGCTAAGCCCAGACATCATCTCAAGATAGCTCATACAGTCCAGGTGAATAGAATGTTTATTTCCACAGAAGTGTGGATGGCAATTTACCGGAGTACGTACTTACTGCTAGGTGAACGGACCCATAAGGTGATAAGAAATGCGTCCAACCATTTACGGGCTCACCATAGCCCGTGCTACTTGGAACTTTTTGTTCCAAGTAGCGAATCTTAAACAATAACAACAACAGTCTAACCAGTTCTGTCTCGTCCGTGATTCGAACCCGGAATTCTCGATTGTACGTCGAGAACGAACCCGACTGTACTGATGAGACCCCGAAGACGGACTGACCTCTATTTTTTTCCAGTTCATGATGGAGTCTCCAGTTTCTGTAAGGCTACTTATATGACCATGTAGGGACACTATGGCTGGGCTGTGACCCAGGTTCCATATGTGACGGAGGTCGAGCGCTCTCTTGACCCATGGACTCACCAGAACGACTCGCTAAGGAATTGGTGCGTTGAGCGCCCTCAGAGCTGTTAATTTGTTATTAAGATTTCCTCCCCCCCCCCCCCCCCCCAAAAAAAGAAAAGATACGAAACACATGATCTAAAAGTTTCAGGATTTTAATTTTTTTTACTGTAATACAAACCCACTTTTACCTCGCCGCCAGTCCAACCAGGGGCGTGTGTTGTCCTTCAGATAGACCTTTTATTCATTTATTCACTTTATACTAAACAAAATTACTGTTTATGCATTTGGTAATTCACTGGCATTCTTTATCCGGCCTTAACTAACGTGGCTCCAAAGCTTGGCAGTTGAGTTAGTCCCACTCAGTCTCATAAATTCAGAACACGAAACAATGGTTATAAACTGGGCAGGTTTAGGTTCAGGAAAGACCTGGTAAGTACTGATTTGGAAGCAGATGTGTTGAATTATGGAACAAATGACCGGGTACCATAGTATAGGCTTGCGACTGAGTTTAGGTAGATATAAATAGGTGTTGTCGCGTATGGGTTAATAGACCTGCAGTTTCCTTTATTCTAATGTTCATATATTCCTGTATTTATATTCATCCTGTACTATATACACTACAACACTAACCTGCAGTGAACCAATATGGGTGACCTCTTAGGAGGCACTGAAAGCTTAACAGTCTTGACAAAGCTGAGTAGCTGGTCAGGAGTGCTGGGGCAGCCCATGTCCGGCCAGGCAATGTACTGGTACTGTTGCACACTTCTTGACCCGTGACCTTGCTGCAGGTGCAATCAACATTCATTACTACATGTTTGTCATTTCATAAATATATTTTCTCAATGACACGCATTTGGCCCAATGAATCTAAACTTCTGATGCTTAGCAGTTGGAAAGTATATTATAATTGTTTTGCTCATCTTTGCTTAAAGGCGTCATGAACACGAATATCGCAATCACCCACATCCAAGATCAGAGATGAAGAGAACTCTGAATCTCTATAGGGTTAATTATATCTGTACTCGAACACTACCGAGGTGATAGCCACTACTAAAGTAACACTATTACATAACCTTGCTGACAAAATTCTTACCTTGGTGAGCTTCATCTTTCGAGAGATGTAGCCTCCTGGCAAGTTAGGCATCTCTTCCAAGGTGTGAACTATGAGTTTCTCCACGGGGTAGGTGATGGGCTCCTCAGATGGGTTTGGCCAGTATTTACTGCATTTGTCCTGAACAAGAACATTGTGAATGAAACATTTGCAGCTGACGGTCAAATAATTCGGATTTCCTTTTCTTTCCCTCTTGCATCACTGGAGAGGACTCAGAGGAGACTTGACCAAGGCGCACACAATACTCCAAGGTAGCGACAGGGTGTTACAAACACATGTTGCACTCATGTACACACGGTGAGATACGCCGGCCCGGGGATACCATTCTCTCTCATGCCAGCTACCCAAATCTAGTTGTTATTCTTATCATCCCTCTTACAGTCTGAGGGAGTGTTTCCACCCACACAGTAATTACAAAAGTGTATAATTGTTATAAGTATTAGTTTTTAAGCAGTAGTGGATGTTGGAGGGAGGGAACACATGGAGGAGGAACACAACTAACAAAAGGCCTACCAAAAAAATATTTTGTTTTTTGTACACTATGCATCAAAATTTGTGTCCCTTGGTAGGAAGTATTATTTTGTAATTTCTTATGCCTCTAAAGTATAGAAAATGGCTATTATTCTCCTCAAACATTGCTTTGACCTTTGTCTCTGACAGCTTAGTGAAGACGTCTTGAAGGTAGGTGAAGGCTGCCGACTCCTGTGGCAGTGTGCTACGCCTCTAGATAAGGAGTCGGCAGCCTTTGAGTAACCATCAAGACGTCTTTCCTAAGGTATCTGAGGCTAAGGTCAAAGTCAATTTTAAGGGGAATAATAGTAATTTTCTATGCTTTCGAGGCATAAGCAAATATTAAATAATACTACCCAGGGACACAAATTGTGAACCATAGCGTAATCTCTGTACAAAATCAAAATAGTGTTTAGTTAATTTATTATGCACCCTATACCCATCCTGTGAGCGGTAGTTGAAAGTCACAATTCATTTAGCTAAGCAAGTTACAATCATGATGAGCTAGTTACAAAATTCAATGCATTTGATAGGTCTTTTGTTGTTTTCCACTAAATACTCCTAATGCACAATCACCTCATGCCTGCCTACCTTGTTCATTTGAGTACACTGGGTAACCATGACAATGACGCGGATGTTCTTCTCCCACACCATCCTCCAAAAGTCCTTAGTGGTGTTATCCTTTGGGCCCTGAGAGGCAATGAACTCCTTGGGAATCTTGTAGCCCTGGGTTAAGTAAAGTTATTATGAAACAAAGTGTGTGCAGGATCAGTTTTTTTTTTTTAGATATATACAAGAGTTGTTACATTCTTGTACAGCCACTAGTACGCGTAGCGTTTCGGGCAGGTCCCTGGAATACGATCCCCTGCCGCGAAGAATCGTTTTTTCATCCAAGTACACATTTTACGGTTGCGTTAAACAGAGGCTACAGTTAAGGAATTGCGCCCAGTAAATCCTCCCCGGCCAGGATACGAACCCATGACAAAGCACTCGCGGAACGCCAGGCGAGTGTCTTACCACTACACCACGGAGACTGCAAACAGTTAGTTACACTCGTGGTGTCCCGTCTTCCCGTGTGTGTATTTGTCTGTGTACATATGCATATGTACACATCTTTGGGTAGATGCAGAAAGACGAACATTATTAAATGTATTCCGCAATTTTATCTTGATTATAAAATATACCCAGCCAGATTCTCCATTATAAATAGGCAAAGCTATTTTGCTCTTGAAATTTACCTCATTTCCAGTCTGGGAGAATATATCGTCATGGCTTAATTTACACATATACTAAGGGACGCACTTGCCTTGTTGAGACTATGCCTACACGTGTGTTTAATCATGCAAAACAATGATTTACTAATGTTTATGAGGCAGAGCGCCGACCAAGCGAGCACTAGAACACCCTACTCACATGTCCTGGATACTCCATCTGTCAGTATTAGGCTCGCTGCTCGAATTTAAAACTATAATTTTGTTCTATATCTGTACATCTGTCCACAGTCCAACCACAGCTGTAATGATCTTTATAAATCACCGACAAAGGTTCTAAAAATGTATTTGCATCTATATTATTCGATATATATATTTAAAAGTGATTACGTGTAATTTTATCTTAGTTAATAATTTACTGAAATTGAGTGTAAACTCAATTCAAAATGTTCAACTATTTATGATCAAAGTTTTCTTCATTTAAGTTGGTATCAACATTTTTTTTTTGCTTATAAAGCAATCTGTTATAATGAGTCGATTCAAATATACAAATAATAACCTGATTAACTGAGTGAAACATAAAATATAAAACCTGATGTATCATGATGTTACCTTGCGTTGATTCCGAGGGTCAAGGTCCCCGCGGCCCGGTCTCTAACCAGGCCTCCTGCTAGGAATAAACATGTTTAAGCGAGCACAATAGTTATGTTAAGAGATGATACTGACGTGTATGTAAGAGGCGTTGATGTAGTCGCTGCAGGGAATGTTCTCCAGCTCTCTCAACACCACCCTCGAGTTGTCATCTGCAACACAAATCAAGCAACCCGAGAGTGTTAACGGTACTGAAAGGTTATAAGGTTTAGTTTTCCAAATAAAAATAACTTGAAAATTGAGTCTGCCAAAGATATTCTAGTTATTATTTGACACTATTATAACCTAAAATTATCAGTATTCTAGACAATATGCCACTGAATGAACAGGTGAGCCATGACATTGGAGTGACTAGGCTGTAGGTGAGGCCTTTTCTAAACTGGAGTGATACGAGCACCTTTAAGTAAATGTATGAACATGCTAAATATGCACTACATGTTGCATATCTATTTTTCCACCACTATCACTGGGATTGAATATGCAAATACGCTTAAATTATATGACAATTTTCTGTATCGAAACTGATCTCCCAGCTCAGCCCCATCCCATTAATTCACAGCCCTTCTCATTCCTAGGTTATGCTATGCCTTCCATGTGTTGCACAGTATTTACAGATATTACAAATACCAGAAGATATTTTTCCCATCGACGTCTGTGCTTGCAGGAGTCATTTGAAGGCAGCATTGACAGTTGAAGATCGACTTTTTTGCCTAAGGTTGGCTTGAGCCAGCCAATATTTGGTTGGCTCAAGCACCTGTTGATAGCGCTAATACCTTGCAGTTACATCTGGTGCGGCCGGTTTGAAACTCGCTGTTGTAGTTGAGAAAAACAGTATTCCACATCTGGCACAGCCAGTATGGAACATGACGAGGGGCTAAAATATATGCACTACACACACAACTAACACCTGCATCAACCATCACAACTACCTAATACCGTACTATGGTCCAATAGGATGTGAGATGAGTGCACTAAAGGTTTTAAATTCAAGAAACTTTTATATTTCTGGCAGGTGCATGACCTGTGTGTATGTGAGCATTCCAGAGTGTAAATATGTGTATGGTGATGCGGACGAGTGCACATGTTATACCCAGTAGACTCACAGGGCAGGATGTTGACGTAGCGGTTCTTGGGGCGGTTGTCCGGGTGGCTGGCAGCGTTGGTGGTGCTGGCGGGGCTGACGGCCTTCAGCTCCTCGAACTCCTTCGCCAGCATCTCTTGATCTGTCGCATACGACGCTATTAGGCCATACATCTGATTTCCAACTCTCGAGAAAAGCACAGGTTAAACTCTTACATCTTTATGGTGGCAGCAGCAGCATAACGAAGACTCAGTCACAGTAGCGGGACATCACGCATTTTTATTGATTGACGTTCCGTTACTGTGATTCCGTTTGCTACTTCATTTAACATTAGCAAAATATTAAGACTTTAATCATCGCCACACGTCCACAAACTGTTTCTACATAAGCTGAGTTGTAAAGCAGTAATCCAACATGGCGTCGATACATTCTGGAGGTACTGTCCAAAACAACATTTATTCTTCGTCATTAGCATAAACGTTTTCTGAAATTTAATTTGAATAATTTTAAGTTACTTCTTTAAACCAAGACGCTGAATTTCATCTAACAATCTGTCTGACAATTTAATAAACTATTTGAAAGGAAAGATTTAGGAACCCGGGTCGATCCGGCGCTTGTTAATAATGTTAATAATGATTCTGCCTAGAGAAAGTACCGCTATAAGGCAAAAGGACTACTTGGAAGGATAAGGTACAACGAGGGCGGATAAGGCACCGCGAGGGCGGATAAGGCACCACGAGGGAGGATAAGGCACCACGAGGGTGGATAAGGTACCACGAGGGAGGATAAGGCACCACGAGGGAGGATAAGGCACCACAAGGGTGGATAAGGTACCACGAGGGAGGATAAGGCACCACGAGGGAGGATAAGGTACCACGAGGGAGGATAAGGCATCACGAGGGAGGATAAGGCACCACGAGGGAGGATAAGGTACCACGAGGGAGGATAAGGCACCACGAGGGAGGATAAGGCACCACGAGGGAGGATAAGGCACCACGAGGGAGGATAAGGCACCACGAGGGAGGATAAGGCACCACGAGGGAGGATAAGGCACCACTAGGGAGGATAAGGCACTACGAGGGAGGATAAGGTACCACGAGGGAGGATAAGGTACCACGAGGGAGGATAAGGTACCACGAGGTAGGATAAGGTACAACGAGGATGGATAAGGCACCACGAGGGAGGATAAGGCACCACGAGGGAGGATAAGGCACCACGAGGGAGGATAAGGCACCACGAGGGAGGATAAGGCACCACGAGGGATGATAAGGCACCACGAGGGAGGATGAGGCACCACGAAGGAGGATAAGGTACCACGAGGGAGGATAAGGTACCACGAGGGAGGATAAAAGACCACGAGGGAGGATAAGGCACCACGAGGGAGGATAAGGCACCACGAGGGAGGATAAGGCACCACGAGGGAGGGATAAGGTACCACGAGGGAGGGATAAGGCACCACGAGGGAGGGATAAGGCGCCACGAGGGAGGATAAGGCACCACGAGGGAGGATAAGGCACCACGAGGGAGGATAAGGCACCACGAGGGAGGATAAGGTACCACGAGGGAGGATAAAACACCACGAGGGCGTATAAGGCACCACGATGGAGGATAAGGCTCCACGAGGGAGGATAAGGCACCACAAGGGAGGATAAGGTACCACGAGGGAGAATAAGGCACCACGAGGGAGGATAAGGCACCACAAGGGAGGATAAGGTACCACGAGGGAGAATAAGGCACCACGAGGGAGGATAAGGCACCACGAGGGAGTCGGAGGGGGGATAAGGTACCACAGGGGGAAGCAGCAACCTACCAAGAGGGGTGTGGACGTACCACGACAAAGAAGCGACCTACCGTGCGAAGGGGACAAGATGCTAGTCGAGGTGAGGACGTACCGTTGGCGAGGAGGGCGGTGAGGGTCTGGTGGAGCTCAGAGACCTTGACTGGGCGCTGCATGCAGATCAGGGAGTCTAGCTGGAACATCCAGCTGAGGTCGAAGGGCACCCGCTCTTCCCTGCTCCGGCAAGGGGGTATAATAGTCGGTTAAACGCTAGCAAACGGCACCGGAAACATGCAGGTCAGAGCACAACATACATCACACACACACACCACAGGCCACGACACACGAGTCGCAGGACACACAACTCACAAGACACAGGACTCATAAGACATACAACTCACAAGACACAGGACTCACAAGACACAGGTCTCACAAGACACAGGACTCACAAGACACGGGATTCACAAGTGTTATGATCCCAGGTAGCTGGAAAACGAGTCTACCCCTTGTGAGAGTTATTTAGCAAACCTGACCCAACTAAGCGGTCAAGGGAAATATAGACATGTAAATAAGTATTAAATACTTGGCCAGTATTGACGAATAGTTTAAAAGCATGGGCAGTGGATAATTATGTACATAAATGACTTGACATGAGATGTCGAGACTTTCTGAGGAAGGTATGAGGCTCATGGCAGGGGTCTTGACTTTACTCGAGCAGTGGAAGTCGTGGGAGGAAGGTACAGTGTCTTTAGGCTCCTGACAGTAAGGGAAGAATCTCTAATTTCGTGCTCTGTTAAGAGGAGGAACTAATCAGGCGTTCGTGTATGAAGCCTGGGAAAGACTTAGTGCTCGAGTCAGGAATGAGAGGAGCCTTGTGAAGCAGTTTAATAGCAATTTTTGTGGGCAAGGAGATCGCCAACGTCAGAGGCCGGACCTGGATGCGCCCCCGCGTCTAACAAATTCTTTGGTAAGTCCATTTTAACCAGTTGCTAGTGATTGCCTGTAGTTGATCATGTGCCCAACGATCGTAGCAAGTGTTTATGGATACATTATGCATACTTTATTAAGACAGAAAGCTTAAATAAGAGAGTAAAGATAGAGGAACCTCCTGGGGAGAGGAGTGATACATCCACTCTCTCCAGAGGCCAAAGGCTGACTGAGGGAGGCGCGGCAGGCAGCTCGCAGGGCGGAGGGCCGCCCAAGGAAGGCGGAGCATGGATCCGTCCGAACGGGGGCGTTCCCCCTCGCGACGTGCGGGAGTCGGAGAGATGTCTGGTGAAGACATTTATTGTGTGTGCATATATTTTAGTTATATGTTAGTAAGGAAACATTTTTAATGGCGTGTCGATGGGTTGCAGTTTTGTGTGGAGAAGGAGTTGATGGGGGAACTTCAAAGCCAGGGAAGGAGTTAGTGGATGCTACTCCAAGGCTGTAGAAGAAGTACTGAACTCTGTGGAAGAGCAGACCCCCATAATGAGGAGCTGGACCTCAAGCTGTGTGAAGCAACAGGAAGTGGAGTTGCACGTGTCTGTGTAGTCAGTGGTGGAGCATCACTGGTGTTCAAGGGAAACTTCATGGTGTAGCAGTATGGGAGAGCTACAGAAGACTCTTGTAGACAGTTCTGGGAAAACCCAGAGTTAAACAGGATAGTGAGACCCTAAATGCAGAGCGGAGGTTCATGGTGACTACTTATAATGTATCGGGAGAGTGCTTGAATGTCATTGTCGTGTAAGACACAGTGGAAGGTGGGTGATTGGCCATTTTTGTGTTGAGGAATTTTCATGCAGATGTTTCTAGTGTCTTGGCCACAGGCATAGCTTTATATGTTTACAGGACTGACTGTGTAATTCTGATGTTTCTAGTGTTGCAGCCATTGGCTGAAATATATATATATATATATATATATATATATATATATATATATATATATATATATATATATATATTCTAATAAACATGACCCTATATATATATATATATATATATATATATATATATATATATATATATATATATATATATATATATATATATATATATATATGATTAAGAATGTGACAATGTCAGACCACGGAGGAAAAATGAAACAGGAAATTTCCTTAAGTATATATATATATTCTAGGGTTGACTGTGCAATATTACTATTAAGAGAATTAACCCACTTGGTGAGGAAATAATAAGTGGCAGAGTTGGGCAACCACTGATATAGACGGCTGGTGAAGCCAGGATGGTATTGGATTGCAACCAGGATATGGTAGCTTAAAGTGTTTGGGTTAATACTTTTATTTCTGTTATGTCAGTGTACTGTATATGTTCTTTGTCATTAAATGTATATAGTTAACAGGTGTTTGCCCTTGTCCTGGTGAGGCTTCCTAGAAAGCAGAAAAGAGGGAGAGAGAGAGAAAACATAAAAGCTGTAGACAGGGTGATAAGGAATACTAATTCAGAAAAAGGGGATTGAGGAGACCATTCCAAACAAGGAGAGAGTGGGGAGTCACGGCGGCTCAAGTAGGGTGTGTGCACAGAACAACGAGGCCAGTGTTGGAGCCGCACCCCGTAGAGATGTGGCGCTGATCCCCTCTCCAAGATCAAGAGGGTGATCTAAGAAAACTACAAGCACTCTATAGATCAGAGTTGGTTGACCGGCGGTAGCGAGAGTGTGGCTGTCGAGGTCGGTTGTCTGTTCCTGCAGAGAGTGGTTGGGGGACGTTGTCTACCTGTACGCGAGGAACGATTTGGTGTAGAAACCAGAGCTCTTTGGAGGTTTAAGCTCCAACCCGCCTTCAGGAAGTCCGGGACAGGACACAAGACACACAACTCACAAGACACAAGACACAAAACACAGGACTCACAAGACACAGGACTCACAAGACACAGGACTCACAAGACACACGACTCACAAGACACACGACTCACAAGACACACGACTCACAAGACACACGACTCACAAGACACACGACTCACAAGACACGACTCACAAGACACACGACTCACAAGACACACGACTCACAAGACACAGGACTCACAAGACACAGAACTCACAAGACACAGGACTTACAAGACACAAGACACACGACTCACAAGACACAAGGCACAGGACTCACAAGACACACGACACACAAAACACACGACTCACAAGACACACAAGACACACGACTCACAAGACACAGGACTCACAAGACACAAGACTCACAAGACACACGACTCACAAGACACAAGACACACGACTCATAAAACACAAGACACACAAGACACAGGATTCACAAGACACACGACTCACAAGACACACAAAACACACGACTCACAAGACACACGACTCACAAGACACAAGACACACGACTCATAAAACACAAGACACACAAGACACAGGATTCACAAGACACACGACTCACAAGACACACAAAACACACGACTCACAAGACACACGACTCACAAGACACACGACTCACAAGACACAGGACTCACAATACACAAGACACACGACTCACAAAACACAAGACACACAAGACACAGGATTCACAAGACACACGACTCACAAGACACAAGACACACGACTCACAAAACACAAGACACACAAGACAGGACTCACAAGACACACGACTCACAAGACACACAAAACACACTACTCACAAGACACAGGACTCACAAGACACACGACTCACAAGACACACGACTCACAAAATACAAGACACACAAGACAGGACTCACAAGACACACGACTCACAAGACACACAAAACACACGACTCACAAGACACACAAGACACAGGACTCACAAGACACACGACTCACAAAACACAAGATACACAAGACACAGGACTCACAAGACCACACGACTCACAAGACACACGACTCACAAGACACACAACTCACAAGACACAGGACTCACAAGACACAGGACTCACAAGACACAGGACTCACAAGACACACGACTCACAAAACACAAGACACACGACTCACAGGACTCACAAGACACACGACTCACAAGACACAGGACTCACAAGACACAGGACTCACAAGACACACAACTCACAAGACACAGGACTCACAAGACACAGGACTCACAAGACACAGGACTCACAAGACACAGGACTCGCAAGACACAGGACTCACAAGACAGGACTCACAAGACACAGGACTCACAAGACACACAACTCACAAGACACACAACTCACAAGACACAGGACTCACAAGACACAGGACTCACAAGACACAGGACTCACAAGACACAGGACTCACAAGACACAGGACTCACAAGACACAGGACTCACAAGACACAGGACTCACAAGACACAGGACTCACAAGACACAGGACACAAGACACACGACTCACAAGGACTCACAAGACACACGACTCACAAGACACAGGACTCACAAGACACAGGACTCACAAGACACACAACTCACAAGACACAGGACTCACAAGACACACACAAGGACTCACAAGACACAGGACTCACAAGACACACGACTCACAAGACACACGACTCACAAGACACAGGACTCACAAGACACACACAAGACACAGGACTCACAAGACACAGGACTCACAAGACACACGACTCACAAGACACAGGACTCACAAGACACAGGACTCACAAGACACACAGGACTCACAAACACAAGACACAGGACTCACAAGACACAGGACTCACAAGACACAGGACTCACAAGACACAAGACACAAGGACTCACAAGACACAGGACTCACAAGACACAGGACTCACAAGACACAGGACTCACAAGACACAGGACTCACAAGACACAGGACTCACAAGACACAGGACTCACAAGACACAGGACTCACAAGACACACGACTCACAAGACACAGGACTCACAAGACACACGACTCACAAGACACAGGACTCACAAGACACACGACTCACAAGACACAGGACTCACAAGACACAGGACTCACAAGACATAGGACTCACAAGACACACGACTCACAAAACACAAGACACAGGACTCACAAGACACAGGACTCACAAGACACACGACTCACAAAACACAAGACACAGGACTCACAAGACACAGGACTCACAAGACACAGGACTCACAAGACACAGGACTCACAAGACACAGGACTCACAAGACACAGGACTCACAAGACACAGGACTCACAAGACACAGGACTCACAAGACACAGGACTCACAAGACACAGGACTCACAAGACACAGGACTCACAAGACACACGACTCACAAGACACAGGACTCACAAGACACAGGACTCACAAGACACAGGACTCACAGGTTATTGGTGGCGACTTTGCGGTAGCTATAGTACCCGGCGACGGTGAGGCTCACGAGCACCAGCAGCACAAACAACACCACCACCGGCGGTTGGAAGAAGTTCCATGCTGGCGGAGGAGAGTGGTGAGTCAGGGGGAGTGGTGAGTCAGGAGAGGCAGGGGAGTGGTGAGTCAGGAGAGGCAGGGGAGTGGTGAGTCAGGAGAGGCAGGGGAGTGGTGAGTCAGGAGAGGCAGGGGAGTGGTGAGTCAGGTGGAGAGGCAGGGAGTGGTGAGTCAGGTGGAGAGGCAGGGGAGTGGTGAGTCAGGTGGAGAGGCAGGGAGTGGTGAGTCAGGAGAGGCAGGGGAGTGGTGAGGCAGGGGAGTGGTGAGTCAGGGGGAGTGGAGTCAGGAGAGGCAGGGGAGTGGTGAGTCAGGGGGAGTGGAGTCAGGAGAGGCAGGGGAGTGGTGAGTCAGTGGGAGAGGCAGGGGAGTGGTGAGTCAGTGGGAGAGGCAGGGGAGTGGTGAGTCAGGGGGAGTGGTGAGTCAGGAGAGGCAGGGGAGTGGTGAGTCAGTGGGAGAGGCAGGGAGTGGTGAGTCAGGTGGAGAGGCAGGGAGTGGTGAGTCAGGTGGAGAGGCAGGGAGTAGTGAGTCAGGGGAGTGGTGAGTCAGGGGGAGAAACAGGGGAGTGGTGAGTCAGGGGGAGAAACAGGGGAGTTATGAGTCAGGAGGAGAAACAAGGGAGTGGTGAGTCAGGTGGAGAGGCAGGGAGTGGTGAGTCAGGGGGCGCGGCAGGGGAGTGGTGAGTCAGGGGGAGTGGTGAGTCAGGAGGAGAAACAGGGGAGTGGTGAGTCAGGAGAGGCAGGGGAGTGGTGAGTCAGTGGGAGAAACGGGAGTGGTGAGTCAGGAGGAGAAACGGGAGTGGTGAGTCAGGTGGAGAGGCAGGGAGAGGTGAGTCAGGGGGAGAAACAGGGGGGTGGTGAATCAGGAGGAGAAACAGGGGAGTGGTGAGTCAGGGGAAAGGCAGGGGAGTGGTGAGTCAGGAGGAGAGGAGGGGAGAGGTGAGTCAGGGGGAGAAACAGGGGAGTGGTGAGTCAGGAGGAGAAACAGGGGAGTGGTGAGTCAGGGGGATAGGCAGGGGAGTGGTGAGTCAGGAGGAGAAACAGGGGAGTGGTGAGTCAGAAGGAGAGGCAGGGGAGTGGTGAGTCAGGTGGAGAGGCAGGGAGTGGTGAGTCAGGGGGAGCGGCAGGGGAGTGGTGAGTCAGGGGGAGAGGCAGGGGAGTGGTGAGTCAGGAGAGGCAGGGGAGTGGTGAGTCAGGGGGAGAGGCAGGGGAGTGGTGAGTCAGGAGAGGCAGGGGAGTGGTGAGTCAGGGGGAGAAACAGGGGAGTGGTGAGTCAGGAGGAGAAACAGGGGAGTAGTGAGTCATGGGGAGAGGCAGGGGAGTGGTGGGTCAGGAGGAGAAACAGGGGAGTGGTGAGTCAGGGGGATAGGCAGGGGAGTGGCGAGTCAGGAGGAGAAACAGGGGAGTGGTGAGTCAGGGGGAGAGGCAGGGGAGTGGTGAGTCAGGAGGAGAAACAGGGGAGTGGTGAGTCAGGGGGAGAGGCAGGGGAGTGGTGAGTCAGGGGGAGAGGCAGGGGAGTGGTGAGTCAGGAGGAGAGGCAGGGGAGTGGTGAGTCAGGGGGAGAAGCAGGGGAGGCAGTGGTGAGTCAGGGGGAGAGGCAGGGGAGTGGTGAGTCAGGGGGAGAGGCAGGGGAGTGGCGAGTCAAGGGGAGAGGCAGGGGAGTGGTGAGTCAGGGGAGAGGCAGGGGAGTGGTGAGTCAGGGGAAGAGGCAGGGGAGTGGTGAGTCAGGGGGAGAGGCAGGGGAGTGGTGAGTCAGGAGGAGAGGCAGGGGAGTGGTGAGTAAGGGGGAGAGGCAGGGGAGTGGTGAGTCAGGGGGGAGTGGTGAGTCAGGGGGCAGGGGAGTGGTGAGTCAGGGGGAGAGGCAGGGAGTGGTGAGTCAGGGGGAGAGGCAGGGGAGTGGTGAGTCAGGGGAGAGGCAGGGGAGTGGTGAGTCAGGGGAGATCAGGGGGGTGAGTCAGGGGGAGATGCAGGGGAGTGGTGAGTCAGGGGGAGAGGCAGGGGAGTGGTGAGTCAGGAGGAGAGGTAGGGAGTGGTGAGTCAGGTGGAGAGGCAGGGGAGTGGCGAGTCAAGGGGAGAGGCAGGGGAGTGGTGAGTCAGGGGAGTGGTGAGTCAGGGGGAGATGCAGGGGAGTGGTGAGTCAGGGGGGGAAAGGCAGGGGAGGGGGGGACGGTAGTGAAGGGAGTAATGAAGGGGAAACACCAAGAGTAATGTATACTTTACTCGTAGAGGTTTACATATATGGTCTCTATAAAAGTCAAACATAAACAAACAGGTGTAATGCTAATATAAACATTGTGTTCATTAACAAAATAAGAGATCTTACGCTGGGTCCTGAAGCTGTAGATCCTGGAGTCGCCATAGCCCATTTTGGTGAACATGCGGAACTTGTAGTAATATACCGTGTTTGGCACCAGAGGTCCATTGCAATCTTGGCACGTGGCCCACTGGTCTTCCCCTGATTTATGAGATGAGAATTCACGTAGTTACAACCATGACCCACCATACACTAGGGCCGCAGTCACAACCCACAATGGTCACTTGGGAGATTAAAGCCAATAATAGTACTCTATTAGACACAAGTGTTATCCAGGGTGGTATACTATTGCGTAGTAACAACCCTATTTAAAGCGACAGCTGCTGATCCTGGAGGACGCACAGAATCCATTCAATAAAATATCCTAATTATTGTGACCGCTTGAAATCCCTTAAACTAGGCTCCTTAGAGCACAAGCGAGAGGGAGATATGCATATAATAATTTACTCTGAAAATATTTGAGGGACTGGTTCCAATTCTGCACTCTGAGATAATCCCTTACGAGACTATCAGGCATGGCAGAAATGAACGAACTAGCCCCTTTGAAAAGTAGAGGTGCAGTGGGCCCATTGAGAGACATATCTCTAAACATTGGGGTCCCAAGGCTTCAACACACTCCCTCAAAATATAAGGAGCATACCTAGCCGACCTCTCACTGTGTACTCACCTACTTTAGTACACGGTGCACCTCACCTAGGTGTTCAAAGGGTATGTGGTAAACGCTTGCAAAGGATACCTGATCAACCAGGCTCTAATTCATGCATCAGACTGCGAGCAGCGGCGTCTCTCACCCTGGGTGGACATACCGGACACCAGGAGCTTATGGGTGGGATGGATGACGTCCCTTGATGTTGAAGGTGGGTTTTATGACGTCCCTTGATCTTGAGGGGTGGGTTGGATGTCATCCTTTGATTTTGAGAGTGGGTTGGATGACGTCCCTTGATCTTGAGGGGTGGGTTAGATGACGTCCCTTGATCTTGAGGGGTGGGTTGGATGTCATCCTTTGATTTTGAGGGTGGGTTGGATGTCATCCTTTGATTTTGAGGGTGGGTTGGATGGCATCCTTTGATTTTGAGGGTGGGTTGGATGTCATCCTTTGATTTTGAGGGTGGGTTGGATGGCATCCTTTGATTTTGAGGGTGGGTTGGATGGCATCCTTTGATCTTGAGGGTGGGTTGGATGGCATCCTTTGATCTTGAGGGTGGGTTGGATGGCATCCTTTGATCTTGAGGGTGGGTTGGATGGCATCCTTTGATCTTGAGGGTGGGTTGGATGGCATCCTTTGATCTTGAGGGTGGGTTGGATGGCATCCTTTGATTTTGAGGGTGGGTTGGATGGCATCCTTTGATTTTGAGGGTGGGTTGGATGACAACTATTGACCTTGAGGAAGGTTGGATGACAACTATTGATCTTGAGGGTGGGTTGGATGGCAACCATTGATCGTGAGAAGGCGTTGAATCACAGCCAATGAGCTTGAGAAGTGGTTGAATCACAGCCAATGAGCTTGAGAAGCGGTTGAATCACAGTCAATGAGCTTGAGAATGTACCAAGAAGTACAGAATGTACATCTTACTAGAGTATAAATGTTTAAATTAGTAGCACGTTAAAAACTAGCCCAAGTTAAGGAAACTTACAGGTAATCTAGCAAATGGCAGAGAGTAAAACTAGCTAGAGTTAGCACACGTAGACAGACTTCTGTAGACGGCCACATACCGAAGACGAAGATGTGTCTCCCGCCTTGGTATTTATCCTTGGGGAAGACTCTGTAGAGCGCCTCAGGGTTCTTGTATTGCGGGTCGTAGTGCGGGTCCGTCCCTGTTCCTAGGCCAAATGCTTCCTGCGCTAGGTCGTCCTTCTTCGCTAAAATGATTTGATATTCGCTGTGCAGGAGTAAGAACAAGATGGGAAGTCATATACGAAGGCGTTAGAAACCACTATTATGGACTACATACGATCTAACAACCCATGCAGAGGATTACGAATGAGTATAAATTTTCCTCAAAACGCTTGGAAAGTCTTACAAATTGGTCTCAACTACATGGATTTTGCTGATTACTAAGTGTTACGTTTAAACACTAGAGATAGGTTAGGTTAGGTTAGGCTAGGCTAGGCTAGGTTAGGCTAGGCTAGTTCTCCTTATCAGCTTCCCGGCGTACTGGACCGGCTAACACTGTTCCTGAGACGCATGTTGCAAGGGGCTTCAATCTTAAGGAAAACAAGCTTTCAGGTTTTGAGATTTGTAGATAAATGCTTATCTTTATACTTTCGTCTTTGAATATGTAATGATCCAAGCTCCAATAATGTATTATCAAGCACGCTCGATCCTCAGAGGGAGAACTATTGCATGCTAATCCCATGTAAGGGAGACCAGTTAAGGCCAAGCTCTAGTAGGCTCTGTATACAAAAACTGATTGGTAATTCGGATGTCAGCCAACCGGCGGGTCGCATTCCGGTGATATCATTCTTGGGTTAAGCTTTAATATAAGCTAAATTACAGAAAATATGTTTATACAAAAATGTAAGAATATGTTGTTTGATATAAATCACCAGTGCTGGCATACAGACATACAGCCAGCGGGTCATTCCAAAAAGGGGTTACAGTTTATCTTTTAATGGTTCCAAGTGAATGCTAGCAAGACTCGAGTTAAAGAACCGTGGCTAATTTTTGGCTTGTACGCATTGCCTACATTGTAACACAGAGAAGACGAGTATATTATGACACGAAACGATGCTGAACTGTTTTGTCAAACCAGAAGAGTTCGTCCCTTAATAATTCACCTAACTTATCGAAGCCGATGCTCGGAAAACGTAAAAATTACGGAGGTTTTAATGTTTACTAAAACAAAACAAATTGAGCGTTTTGTTGACGCTGTTAGAAGTGCGATATATTAGGCTGTAAAATGATTTTCAGAATGAAATTTCCATAATATTTATCACGTCTCATTCAGGATAGTTATGCTTTATGTAAGTTACACGCTGACTTTTATTTAATACATTTTTGTTAGTTGCTGTTTTTGTTCTCATCTATTGATTATTGTGTAGAAATGCACATATACTTAGTTGTTATGAAACTGATTTACTGTATTATGGCAAATATACTATTATATGTATTGATATTGAACCTCTATATTATATACACCAGGAAGGTAGTTGTTGGAAATATCCAACACTTATTTCCTCACTTTTCTAACGCCTTGGGGGGGGGGGGGGGAATTTTGGGCTCAAACTGGTCTCTGATTAATTTCGGTCTTTTAATGATCTCTGTTATATTTCGGTCTACAAACGGACTCTGATTAATTTTCTGTCTTTAACTGGTCTCAATTTGGGTCTTATATGGTCTTTGAAATTATTTGGTGTAAAATGGTCTGTCATATTTTGGTCGTCTACTGAACTCTGAATAATTTTTGGTCTTTACTGGACTCTGACAAATTTTGGTAATTTACGGTCTTAAAGCTGAATTCTGTCTTGTTTAGGTCTTTTACTGATGAAATAGCCATAAATGGATATAAAACTTAAACTTACTACTAAGAAGTCTATTTTCCTTAACAAAACTTCTATGACAATATTCTCTGAAAATGGTATTTTGAAATATTTTCGGTCTTAAACTCGTAAATAAACTAAATAATAAAAATGCACTCAAGAAAGGTAAGGCTACCTCTCCTGGAGAGGATGGCATCACATACAACACCATGAGAGTACTTGCTGAGCTGCCAAATAGCCCTTTGCTAGAATTGTTTAATCAAAGTCTAAGGCAGGGTGTTTTACCTGACCGCTGGACACAGGGACTCATAATACCCATACCCAAGTTTAATTCACAAAAATTTAGACCCATTTCTCTGACGTCGTGCATGTGTAAAGTTCTTGAGAGAATTATTCTCGACAGACTAATGTTTCAAATCAAGCCCCACCTTGCCCCTAACCTGTATGGTTTCCTTCCTGGAAGAAGCACACAAACTTGCTTTGCTGAGTATTTTATCAGAGAGGGACCAAACTCTCAGGCGGCATTTATTGATCTCCAAACTGCTTTTGATACAGCAAACAGAGAAATAATCCTAGAACAGCTAGCCTCTTGTGGAGTTAAGGGAAGACTGTTGACATGGCTCAGGGGGTACCTGAGTAACAGAACCGCCTCAGTCCTTTTCAAGGGGGTCAAAAGTAAACCCTGTGCACCCTTTGAGTTGGGTACACCCCAGGGTGGAGTGCTAAGTCCCACACTGTTCAATGTTCTGATGCATAAATTAACAATTGATGTTCCCACACTACCTGACGAAGCCGTCATTTGTTATGCCGATGATATATGCATTGTTGCAAATTCCCAAACTAGACTGCAAGCTCTACTTGATTCATTCGCTGCTAAAAGCATTGAATGTGGTCTTGTTATCTTTATAACTAAATCCAGAGTTCTCCATCCTCAAGAGAAAACTCATGTCCCTATAGCTTTCAAGGTCAACAACCAGAACATTGAAACGTGTAGGCAGCACAAATACCTTGGAGTTGGTATTAACAGTGACATTGTAAATGATCTACACCGTAGGCTAAAAGAAAGACTAAAACCATTGAGAACACTTACTGGTAAGAATATTGGTATTAATATTAAATATGCTAGACTATTCTATATGATGTTCGTTAGATCTCTCGTTGATTATAATGCTCTGCACTTAATTAATTTCCCCTCCTCTGTGTTGGACAAACTTGAAGTAGTACAGAATGAGGCCATGAGGATAATTCTTGGTGCTTCAAGATGCACATGAATCATCAACATGAGGGAAGAACTGAAGCTTCCAACCATACTAGAGAGAATAATGCAAGTCAACACTACCTTTTGCCTTAAAGTCATGAGAGATCCTACATCTCCTGCATTGCTCAGAGACAAATTATTTAGTGCTGTTAACACCCTTTTGACTGGTGCCGACATACCAACTCACTCCTTTTATGATAATTGGCTGAGCAACAATGCTTACAATCTCATTAAACTTAACATTCCTTTTAAGTGCAATCTACCAGTCTCTGATATTCCTCTTTATCTGTACCCCACCATTCAAGTATCATACACACCTGTCACCAAGAAAGATAATGAGAATCTTGCTCTTCTCAAAGCTGTCACTCTTGAAACAATTGCCTCCTCCATCGAGAGTTTAAGATCTCACGAGCACTGTGTCTACACCGACGGCTCAGTCCAATCCTCTACTGGACGGACTGCAGCGGCATGTAGGTTTTATAGAAATAATATTTGCACAAAGACTGTCAGTGTCAGGTTAAACAACTGGCTGATCTCCACACAAGCAGAACTAGCAGCATTACACTTAGCAACCAGTACATTAAAAAACATTGGAGGAGGAATAATATTCTGTGATTCAAAGTCTGCTTTTCAAGCAATCGAAAACTTCTCTTGGAAGATCGACAGCAAGAACCTCATACTCCCAATTATAAATGACCTAATTGATGCACAGAGTAAAGGGTCTCGAATCTCCTTTGTATGGATACCTTCACACATAAATATAACCCATCATAATGAGACAGACATTGCAGCCAAATTAGCGTGTAACAAGTTTGAAGTTGAATTAGATCTAGGTATCCCCATCTCTGCTGTCAAAACTGTATTGGTCCAAACATTCAGATCTGATAGGAAAGAACTTACTGACTCCCAACGACCTGAAAGTACTAGTATAAAATGCTATGATTTGTTCAGATCTGAAACCTATATCTATGGACAGCACAAAACGTCCACTAGACTGTGCGACACAGTGGTTGCCAGGATCAGGTTGGGTTACCGTTACCTGTGGCAGGTGGCTGCAGGTGACGGGTCTCCCAATCCTGAGCACTCCAGTTGCAAACTCTGTGAGCAGGAACTACGGCACGATCTCCCGCACTACATCACTGAATGCCCAGTTATTAGACCTTTCAGACCAGTTGGCATGAGGTACCTGGAGCTTTGCAATTACTTTATTCACTCTCGTATTCTTGAAGATATCCTCACAGTATACCCAAAATTTGCCAGTGCAGGCTATTAAACACATGGCTCTGTATGACTAACCATCCTGCGAGATGGGGACTTGTATTACCACTGCTACCTTATTCAATCTTGTGTTGTTGGTATCCTCAAAATGCATCCGGAGTCTGCCAGTGCAGACCGCTTATCACATGTCTCTGTATGACTAACCATCCTGTGTGATGGGGATTTTTTAGCATCACCTACTTAGCTTTTTTGACACACTGTACTCCACTTCATATAGTCTAGGGTAGCTGCACTAATGCAGATGTACCTAATGTGTTAATAAAAAAAAAAAAAAAAAAAAAAAAAAAAACTGACTTTGCCCTTGAATTTTTTCTATAAGAAACTTGTATGAACTCTGAAGTAATTTTCAATTTCTGCCATAAGAAACCTTTAAGAACGAATTAGGGATTCTTGTCTCGAATTTTTCCCATAAGAACTCTTTAACAAACTTCTATGAACATATTCTCCGAAAATGGTCTTTGAAAAATTTAAGTCTTTAACTGTGAAAAATTTATCTCGAAACCCCCACAGATTAGCTGTATCTGGGCTCGAAAATCCTCACTTACCTGGAAACCCTGACATGCCAGCAGTAACTGAGCTGGAACAATCTCAGTTACTGCTGGACCGTCATCCCTACTACTAACAGCTCCAGATATCCTCACCTCATACTGTCGTGTGAGAGATTAAACAGATCCAGATATCCTCACCTCATACTGTCGTGTGAGAGATTAAACAGATTCAGATATCCTCACCTCATACTGCCGTGTGAGTGATTGAACAGATGCAGATATCCTCACCTCATACTGACATGTGATTGGTTGAACAGATGCACATATCCTCACCTGATCCTGCCATGTGATTGGTTGAACAGATCCAGATATCCTCACCTGACCCTGCCATGTGATTGGTTGAACAGATCCAGATATCCTCACCTGACCCTGCCATGTGATTGGTTGAACAGATGCACATATCCTCACCTGATCCTGCCATGTGATTGGTTGAACAGATCCAGATATCCTCACCTGATCCTGCCATGTGATTGGTTGAACAGATCCAGATATCCTCACCTGACCCTTCCATGTGATTGGTTGAACAGATCCAGATATCCTCACCTGATCCTGCCATGTGATTGGTTGAACAGATCCAGATATCCTCACCTGATCCTGCCATGTGATTGGTTGAACAGATCCAGATATCCTCACCTGACCCTGCCATGTGATTGGTTGAACAGATCCAGATATCCTCACCTGATCCTGCCGTGTGAATGGTCAAACAGATCCTCCCTGATGATGATACAGTAGGTGGAGTAGTCGAGTCCTCTGACGCTCTCAGGAATCCTGTCCTTGGCCACATAATCATCGACTATGTTGTTCATGCGGGGAGGTACTGACAACAGTACATTAGTGTCACATTATTAAAATTATAAACAATAACTTTGACAATGAAAAAGGACGATACCAGATGTGGTTGGATGGCCTTAGTGAGCTTAGTATCTTTGGCAAGCTGTAGTAAGTTATATTAAAAAATATATGTCTCTCTATAATTATATTCTCTACCTCTCACTATTCTCCTCCTTCCTCTGGTCTTCCTTATATCTCTCATATAGTTAATATAGTAATCGTAATTATATAGAAGCATCATTATAAAGAAGCATCATTATATAGGAGCATCATTATAAAGAAGCATCATTATATAGAAGCATCATTATATAGAAGCATCATTATAAAGAAGCATCATTATATAGAATCAACTATCATTTCATGTTGCTCATTCTCAAACAACATTCGTAACAACTCAAACGCAACAACGCAAACTCACAACATGTTTCATAGGAAAATGTGCATGTTGAGAGAGGATATTGGTAATCCGACAATTATCAGCCGAAATTCTTAACCCTTTTAGGTACTGTAAATGTTTTATGCAACACTCCATATTAGCTATGCTGAGAGTTTGTGCAGAGTGCCATAGTTGTAGCCATCAATACTGTGACCAATGAGAACATCAGTAGGAACCATGGGGAGGATTCCAACCTATGCGCTGGGGACTAATAGCCAATTGTGACAAATGATATAACTCATTATTGTGAAGTGGCTCCCACAGTATCATTTTTACATATAACATGTATTTGTTTACAAGCAACACGTGGCTGTGTTTATATGCAACACGTGGCTGTGTTTACATGCAACACTTGGCTGTGTTTACATGCAACACGTGGCTATGTTTACATGCAACACGTGGCTGTGTTTACATGTAACAGGTGGCTGTGTTTACATGCAACACGTGGCTGTGTTTACATGCAACACGTGGCTGTGTTTACATGCAACACGTGGCTGAGTGTAACAAGCGGGGTTAATCAGGAAACACCTGAGTGGCTGGGTGTAACAAGCGGGGTTCCTCAAGGATCACCTAAGTGGCTGGGTGTAACTAGCGGAATTCCTCAAGGATCACCTGAGTAGCTGGGTGTAACTAGCGGAATTCCTCAAGGATCACCTGAGTGGCTGGGTGTAACTAGCGGAATTCCTCAAGGATCACCTGAGAGGCTGGGTGTAACAAGCGGGGTTAGTCAAGGATCACCTGAGTGGCTGGGTGTAACAAGCGGGGTTAGTCAAGGATCACCTGAGTGGCTGGGTGTAACAAGCGGGGTTCCTCAAGGATAAGGTCTTCGGCCCTATCGTCTTCATATTATATACTAAAAGTGTGTATGTCACAGTTTTTGTCTTTAAGTCAAGTTTGCCTGACCTAGTCAAGACCCTGCCTGACCTAGTCAAGACCCTGCCTGACCTAGTCAAGGCCCCGCCTGACCTAGTCAAGACCCCGCCTGACCTAGTCAAGACCCTGCCTGACCTAGTCAAGACCCCGCCTGACCTAGTCAAGGCCCCACCTGACCTAGTCAAGGCCCCGCCTGACCTAGTCGAGGCCCCGCCTGACCTAGTCAAGGCCCCGCCTGACCTAGTCAAGGCCCCGCCTGACCTAGTCAAGGCCCCGCCTGACCTAGTCAAGGCCCCGCCTGACCTAGTCAAGGCCCGCCTGACCTAGTCACCCCCGCCTGACCTAGTCAAGACCCCGCCTGACCTAGTCAAGGCCCCGCCTGACCTAGTCAAGACCCCGCCTGACCTAGTCAAGACCCCGCCTGACCAAGACCCCGCCTGACCTAGTCAAGACCCCCTGACCTAGTCAAGACCTGACCTAGTCAAGACCCCGCCTGACCTAGTCAAGACCCCCCGCCTGACCTAGTCAAGACCCCGCCTGACCTAGTCAAGACCCCGCCTGACCTAGTCAAGACCCCGCCTGACCTAGTCAAGACCCTGCCTGACCTAGTCAAGACCCCGCCTGACATAGTCAAGACCCCGCCTGACCTAGTCAAGACCCCGCCTGACCTAGTCAAGACCCCGCCTGACCTAGTCAAGACCCCGCCTGACATAGTCAAGGCCCCGCCTGACCTAGTCAAGGCCCCGCCTGACCTAGTCAAGACCCCGCCTGACCTAGTCAAGACCCCGCCTGACCTAGTCAAGACCCCGCCTGACCTAGTCAAGACCCCGCCTGACCTAGTCAAGGCCCCGCCTGACCTAGTCAAGACCCCGCCTGACCTAGTCAAGATCCCGCCTGACCTAGTCAAGACCCCGCCTGACCTAGTCAAGACCCTGCCTGACCTAGTCAAGACCCCGCCTGACATAGTCAAGACCCCGCCTGACCTAGTCAAGACCCCGCCTGACCTAGTCAAGACCCCGCCTGACATAGTCAAGACCCCGCCTGACATAGTCAAGGCCCCGCCTGACCTAGTCAAGACCCCGCCTGACCTAGTCAAGACCCCGCCTGACCTAGTCAAGACCCTGCCTGACCTAGTCAAGACCCCGCCTGACATAGTCAAGACCCCGCCTGACCTAGTCAAGGCCCCGCCTGACCTAGTCAAGACCCCGCCTGACATAGTCAAGACCCCGCCTGACATAGTCAAGGCCCCGCCTGACATAGTCAAGACCCCGCCTGACCTAGTCAAGACCCCGCCTGACCTAGTCAAGGCCCCGCCTGACCTAGTCAAGACCCCGCCTGACATAGTCATGAACCCGCCTGACATAGTCAAGACCCCGCCTGACATAGTCAAGGCCCCGCCTGACCTAGTCAAGACCCCGCCTGACCTAGTCAAGACCCCGCCTGACCTAGTCAAGACCCTGCCTGACCTAGTCAAGGCCCCGCCTGACCTAGTCAAGACCCCGCCTGACCTAGTCAAGACCCCGCCTGACCTAGTCAAGACCCCGCCTGACCTAGTCAAGACCCCCCTGCCTGACCTAGTCAAGGCCCCGCCTGGCCTAGTCAAGACCCCGCCTGACCTAGTCAAGAACCCGCCTGACCTAGTCAACACCCCGCCTGACCTAGTCAACACCCCGCCTGACCTAGTCAAGAACCCGCCTGACCTAGTCAAGACCCCGCCTGACCTAGTCAAGACCCCGCCTGACCTAGTCAAGACCCCGCCTGACCTAGTCAAGACCCCGCCTGACCTAGTCAAGACCCCGCCTGACCTAGTCAAGACCCCGCCTGACCTAGTCAAGACCCCGCCTGACCTAGTCAAGAACCCGCCTGACCTAGTCAACACCCCGCCTGGCCTAGTCAAGACTCTGCCTGACCTAGTCAAGAACCCTCCTGACCTAGTCAAGACCCCGCCTGACCTAGTCAAGACCCCGCCTGACCTAGTCAAGACCCCGCCTGACCTAGTCAAGACCCCGCCTGACCTAGTCAAGACCCCGCCTGACCTAGTCAAGATCCCCAGCTACATCTTGTCAGGGATGTCATTAAACTGTCCTAAAATCAATATATAGATGAAGCAGTGGCGGTGTGTGTACATATCCAGCAACAGCTTGGAGACTTAGAAACACAGATCAATATTTAGCATAATAGTAAAACCTCCCACACAAACCCTCACTTGAATCTGTAGACAATGCTTCTTTTGTAATTAAAATTGTAAGACAGAAATCAATGTGTTTGGCGCGAACTATTATAAGGATAAAGTCATTTATTATAAAGTTGGAATGTGATAAAGGATGCTTACTTCCTGATGTGGTGTTCAGGCTGTAGTCGGCCAGAAATGTAGACTTTCCCCTCCCTCTTTTTTGTCCCTCTAATTCGAACCTGTAGTGCACATATGTGTGTGAATCTCAATCAATCAATCAATCAATCTCTCTGTCTGTCTGTGTCTCCGTCCGTCCGTCTGTCTATTCGTCCGTCCGTCTGTCTGTCCGTCCGTCCGTCCTGGACGGACCGAGAGAGATTCGGTCCGTCCTGGACCATTATCAAGTCGTGTTGCTTAACATTAAAGTATTTAATGTTAAACTGCAACTTAAAACAGCTGCAACCGTGTGCCTTCATGTGGTCGGAAGACTTGATGTAGCTGGTATCTACACGTTGAGAGAATGTTTCAAATACGAGTCAACCAATGAAAGAATGTTCACTAGCGGAGTGATGTTGTTAAGACTGCACTAGTTACTGTCCCGCTCCTGTGCCAGGTAAGTCCACTACGGGCTCACCATAGCCCATGCTACTTGGAACTTTTTGTTCCCAGTAGCTGAATCTATAACAACAACAACAACAACAGTTAAGACTGACACAGCCGACATGAGGCGGCTGATGGTTGAGCGCCTTGTGTTGTAGTTCTTAGCTGCTTCTTCAGCCGGAAAGTGGTTGATAAATTTACATTTAAAAGTACATTTTAAAACTATAATGAGCTTGATGCATTTCGGTATATATGCAAGTATAACTTACTCTTAGCAGAGGCAGAGGGACTGTGAATATCAAATATGAAACCAGGAGGATGTAGTTAGTGCGGATGTCTTAAGGAGGCGGTTATGCTTTTGAGAGGACAGGGTGATCTAGCCCTCTGTCCTCACTGGTCGTGTGGGATGGTGGGTGGGGTGTGAACTGTCATTTTCCTCTAGGTGGTGCTGAAGGGAAAATGAACCAAGATACAAGCTGGCTGCTGATAATTGGATGAGTGTTTAGTGAGAAGTGCTTCTTCTATGTCTAGTCTTATTGCCACTAAATATGTTAATATTTATTGTGTTGGTGATCAGGATCTCTCTGGTTATGGTCTGTCTGTGTGTAGAATGAGCTTCTGTTGAAAGTGAGCTTCAATAGAGCCTTGTTACCATGGATTGTCAGGCACCTTGAAAGAGATATGCTTGGTATTTTGTAATGTATAGCTTCTGTTCAGGTTTAGTATGGGGGGTGACATTACTGTCAATTATGTCCCTCGACTCTTTTTGCCTTGTGAACCACAGAAAATTGGTTCTGGTAACGGTTTTATAGGTGGAACAGGGTGTGTAGTGTTGACATCATCAGTAGTGGTATGGCACTTTCCTTTTGATGGCCTCTTCCACATTTCCATTAGAATATACGTTATTGAGAAAGGCCTCCCTCACTGAGATGAGTTCCTTATCAACCTGGGTCTAGCTGGAGCTTTGTGAAGGAGCATAGTTGACCTCATCATCAGCAGCACTTTGTGTAACTCCTCCAACTCTGATATTTCTCTACTTGCTACTTGACATTCTCTGTGAAATATGTCGCTAGTGACCATTCCCAATATTTTAGGTTCTAATATTGCTATTATCTTAGAGTTTGTGTTCCCAGTCATTTTTTTAGTTCTTTGCTTTGTTTAACATTCCATCATCATTATCTTACCAGATATTTTGTTATTTTGTTGTTTCAGGTAGAGGGGAATGTAAGTAATGTGAGGAAAGGAAGCCGGATTGAAATGGAAATGGCGGGCAGTGGAAGAGAGGTAACTGAGGTAAGTGGAGAAGGAAAGGTAACTAAGGTAAGTGGTTAAGGAAAGGGAAGGGGGGGGGGGGGTCTTGGCAGAAAACGAGTAATAGAGGTAGATTTGCTTGACATGAGGTGGTGTGTGGGAGAGGGATGTCAGTGGTTATGAAAGAATGTGGGAAAGAGGGAAGGAGTCGATAGATGTTGGCTAATAGACTGCAATATAAAAAGTCGAGTGACCTACTGGTAGATGAATATCTTTTTTACACAGGCAAGATGAGCATAATATGATGATTGAGAGCCACGCTACAATAGAGTTTTGATGAAAGAACTTAATATAGATCTTTAACTAACACAATTTAGTAAAAAACATAATTGATTACACACTTGAATGACGAATTAGAGTGAATCATTTTCTATCTTAGATTTGATAAAGCCTTTACAAGCTAAATTTGATCTACAACTTAACACAACTACAGCTACAACAATTCATCATATTCGTTCATCGGTAGATATATAATTGACAATATATATCATTTAAAATATAGTTTGATCTGTTAAATGTGAAGATACACAAGTGATTTGAAAGCTAGGTTCCTATATGAAACGAGCTGGATACCCTTGCATAACTAGTACCGAACTGACATGAAGAAAGGTAATACTATGATTTAAATGAAATCAGTTTATGTATTAAGTTGCTTCAGTTTGAGAGGGTAGTGTTGGAAGTTGGGGGCTGGACCCTTTATTGCATATATCAGGTAATGTAATTTTGAACATCTTTGAAGAGTAACATTGAAAATGGGTGAAGATAATATTTGAAGGTGGCAACACTGGAAGAAAGAAGGAGTTCCCACACTCACCTCCACTACTCTCCAACACTCTCCCATTCTTCCCCACCTCTGCTCCCACACTCACCACCACTACTCTCCAACACACTCCCATTCTCCTGGATAAAGGTGGAAGCTATACCCACTTGTATGTGGTCCCAGGATAAAGGTGGAAGCTATACCCACTTGTATGTGGTCTCAGGATAAAGGTGGAAGCTATACCCACTTGTATGTGGTCCCAGGATAAAGGTGGAAGCCATACCCACTTGTATGTGGTCTCAGGATAAAGGTGGAAGCTCCCACTTGTATGTGGTCTCAGGATAAAGGTGGAAGCTATACCCACTTGTATGTGGTCCAATAAAGGTGGAAGCTATACCCACTTGTATGTGGTCTCAGGATAAAGGTGGAAGCTATACCCACTTGTATGTGGTCCCAGGATAAAGGTGGAAGCTATACCCACTTGTATGTGGTCTCAGGATAAAGGTGGAAGCTATACCCACTTGTATGTGGTCTCAGGATAAAGGTGGAAGCTATACCCACTTGTATGTGGTCCCAGGATAAAGGTGGAAGCTATACCCACTTGTATGTGGTCTCAGGATAAAGGTGGAAGCTATACCCACTTGTATGTGGTCCCAGGATAAAGGTGGAAGCTATACCCACTTGTATGTGGTCCCAGGATAAAGGTGGAAGCTATACCCACTTGTATGTGGTCTCAGGATAAAGGTGGAAGCTATACCCACTTGTATGTGGTCTCAGGATAAAGGTGGAAGCTATACCCACTTGTATGTGGTCTCAGGATAAAGGTGGAAGCTATACCCACTTGTATGTGGTCTCAGGATAAAGGTGGAAGCTATACCCACTTGTATGTGGTCTCAGGATAAAGGTGGAAGCTATACCCACTTGTATGTGGTCTCAGGATAAAGGTGGAAGCTATACCCACTTGTATGTGGTCTCAGGATAAAGGTGGAAGCTATACCCACTTGTATGTGGTCTCAGGATAAAGGTGGAAGCTATACCCACTTGTATGTGGTCTCAGGATAAAGGTGGAAGCTATACCCACTTGTATGTGGTCTCAGGATAAAGGTGGAAGCTATACCCACTTGTATGTGGTCCCAGGATAAAGGTGGAAGCTATACCCACTTGTATGTGGATAAAGGTGGAAGCTCTAAAGGTGGAAGCTATACCCACTTGTATGTGGTCTCAGGATAAAGGTGGAAGCTATACCCACTTGTATGTGGTCAGGATAAAGGTGGAAGCTATACCCACTTGTATGTGGTCTCAGGATAAAGGTGGAAGCTATACTCACTTGTATGTGGTCTCAGGATCCAATTCGACGGTGAACGTGCAGATTTCTTTCTGGCAATCACACTTACGAATTTCCCTGTAACCATGGCCATTACCGTAGAACGGGTAGTCTGGAAACAACAAGGGTGAAAATAAACAAGACATGATGGTAATTTGCAAGTGATGATAATGATAAGCAAGTAATGACAATTAGCAGGTGAAAAGAAGTAACCAGCAATGATAATAATTAATAAGTGACGATAATAATGAGCAAGTGATGGTAATTAACAAGTGATGATAATTTGCAAATGATGATGGTAATTAGCAAGTGATGATGCTAATTATCAAATGATAATGATAATTTGCAAGTGATGAGGATAATTAGCAAGTAATGATGGTAATTTGCAAGTGATGATGTTAATTATCAAATGATAATGATAATTAGTAAGTGATGAGGATAATTAGCAAGTTATGATGATAATTAGCAAGTGATGAGGATAATTACCAAGTGATGATGACAATTAGCAAGTGATGAGGATAATAAGCAAGTGATGATAATTAGCAAGTGATGATGATAATTTGCAAGTGATGACAAATAGAAAGTGATAATGATAATTTGCAAGTAATGATGGTAATTTGCAAGTGATGATGGTAATTAACAAGTGATGATAATTAGAAAGTGATAATGATAATTTGCAAGTGATGATAAATAGCAAGAGATGATGATAATTAGCAAGTAATGATGGTAATTAGCAAGTGATGATAATTAGCAAGTGATGATAATTAGCAAGTGATGATAATTAGCAAGTGATGATGATAATTAACAATTGATAATGCTAATTAGCAGGTGATGATAATTTATAAGTGATGATGTTTAGCAAATTATGAGGATAATCAGCAAGTGATGATTATAATTAGCAAGTGATGAGGATACTTTGCAAGTGATGAAGATAATTAGCAAGTGATGATAATTAGCAAGTGGTAATGATGATTTGCAAGTGATGATAATTAGCAAGGGATGATGATAATTTGCAAGTGATGATAATTAGCAAGGGATGATGATAATTTGCAAGTGATGATGATAATTAGCAAGTGATAATGATAATCTGCAAGTGATGATAATTTGCAAGTGATAAAGACAATGATGGAAGGCAATTATCAGGAGAAAGCGCCTAGCATTTACGACTATATAACACACGGAAGGGGTCAGGATAAAGATTTGGGATGGGACGGGGGGGGGGGGGGGGAAGGAATGATGCCCAACCACTAGGACGGTCGGGGATTGAACGCCGACCTGCATGAGTAAGACCGTCGCTCTACCGTCCAGTTCAAGTGGTTAGGCCCCCCCCCCCCCCCCCCCCAAAAAAAAATGCATGTACGCGGCTTGCCAAAGAATTATGCGTGCCCAGTAACATGGCTCGGGAGAGTGGATTAGTAGGGGATGGATTAGCGAGTATGGGAGGGGTAGGGGGCAACCAGGGGCATGAGGGTACCAGCATGAAAGTGGATCGCAGAGGAGGCGGTCAATTATCTTCCATGGTTTACTCGAAGCAAAGGAAAATTAAGACTTGAAACAATGTAATTGAAAAGTTTGAATAAGTGAGATTTTAAGTTTTTTTTTTTTTTAAGATGACAAGAAACGAGGTTGAACTCAGCCACTGAATTGGACTTTACAATTGTACCAAAAGTAGACCTGTCGTGGTGCAGTTTTCTAATGAAGGGGCAGTGGACTTCAGAATGAAGCACATTTACTCAGCGGCAGCGAAAGCTATTGCAATGTGTTTATTGACAGATACATGACCAAAGATGAACAGCTAGCCCACAAGGCAAGCCGACTTGCATGCCTCCCGGACTCTATCCTTGCCCCACCACTCCTTCCCAATTCACACCCTCCCCAACTCAGCCATCCAATCCCTCCCCACTCCTTGTACCCCCAACAACTTCCCTGCCCTCCCTCCCCACCCCTTGCACCCAATCTCACCTTCTCCATCCCACCCTTCAATGCCCCTCTCTTCCCTTCTGCTCCCCTACCCCACAACTTTCACCCCTCTACACCTCATCTTCAATATGATCCCCCCCTCACATCGCGGCCCTCTCACCTCTTCACTGCTCACAGAAACCTTTCTCTTGCCCCACTTCCATCCTCAGCCCCCACCTCCCACTTGATGCTACTTGATGATATATTGGACTTGTACCCTAGATTGACCATGTAATGTATCAATTACACAATGTATGTATGTGATGTAACTATATAACTTGAGCTTGTAAAAGCACCTTAATCACCTTCAGTGATTAAAGTGCTTAATTGCACACTAGTTTCTCTATCAGCTATCTCACCCTGTCAGAGTAAAAGAGACAAATGTATGTGAATGCATGTCTGTGTATATATGTATATATATATGTATATGTACGTATATGTATGTATATGTATGTGTATAAAGTATATGTGGAAGCTGATCAGAATTGCATTTCACCTTTGTAAATGCACATTAATGATACTATGTAAAAGACACATCGAGCACTTTATGTAGGGCATACGTAAATCTGTGTATCTATATATTTACGTATGTAGGTTAGCTTAACATTTTAAAAGCACCGAATGTGGTTGATTGTTCAATACATCCCTTAACTATATGTTTAACAGATCTCTCACCCTGTCCATGGAGGACAGAAGAAAATGTATATATGCTGGTTAGCATTGCAAATGTGTGGCCACGTCTGTGGTAGAAAAATAATAATATTAATAAAAATCCCACTTTTCCCTTTTATCCTAAAACCCACACCTACCCCTGATTTCCCCCCTGCCCCCTTGCACATCCCCTGACTTGTATAACTTCTCTCCCACTCATACCCCCCAAGCTCCTTACTCCCCCCCTGCCCCTCACCCCCCTTCTACCTCTCAACTTCTGTCTATCAGCTCCCTTCCCCCTCTCTTATGCCTCTCATATACCCTCTCTACCTTTCAGTCCCATTATTTCCTTCTGACTCCCCTAGCTGCCCAGACTCCCAGAGAAAGGGTGAACTCTATTACCAAAATTTCCAAGAAGAGTCTCAAGGTTTGGTACACCAATGTTGATGGGTTATCCAATATAGTATACGAAATAAAAGAAAGAGTTAGTGAGGCAGATCCTGACATAATTGCAATAGTGGAAACCAAAATAAACGATATGATCTCGGATGCAATCTTTCCAGGGGCTACCAAGTGATAAGAAAAGACACAGAAACAGGGAGGGGAAGTGGCACTCCTAATAAAGCAGAAATGGAAGTTTGTAGACCTAGAAAATCTGGTTACTAATGAAAGCACAAGCTTCATACTTGGGACTTTGACAGCAGATTGGAAGAAGATTGTGATCTTGATAACCTACAATCCCCCACCAAACATTAAAAAGCCCAGGCATGAGTATGATGACAACAACAAGGCATGCATTGATGAACTGCTTAGACCAGCAGCAACAGCTCACAGAATGAGAGTGTTAAGACTTTAAGTGTGCTGCAATGGGGATCTAGTATTAATTTAGAGTAGGGTCAGAAGTTAGCATCAAGATGTAACCAAAGTAATGGAGATCTTAAAGGCCCGGCCCCCAAGAAACATATAGGAGTAAACTTATAGTGGTTTATTACTGAAATTGTCAGCCTAGAGGTAGATCATAGATCTCCTACACAGGAAGAATGGATACTCCTTTAACTAACTTACTTATTTATTAACCCCTTAACAACCCCCCATATACATTCACACCAATTACAATAATTACTTTACCACACTATCTTACGTTAAAAGCCTTGGTCCACATAGGCAGGATACAAGGTTTACAATAGCACAAGCTAGGGTAAAGTTTACTAGTGAAGGACTTGAAGCTTGAGGCAGCTTAGGGGTAGTGAGCCCACGTGGTACCCTAACACAACACAACACTTAGGGGTACCCAAAACACTGGCAAATACTACCCATGGTCTTCACAAGTCTTACACTTCCAGAGTAGGCACAATTAGATACACAGTACTTATCTTAATGGTTACAGGAACTTAAGGTAAGGGAAAGAAGTAAGAGGAAAGGTAGGGGAGTGCAGAGCAACTCAGGAAAGGTCTTGCCCCCACGAACGCCAGCCAGAGAAGAGAGACCGTCTCCAGTCTCCTTCCTCAGTTGACTCGATGCTGGCAGACTACTCAACTAATTGTACAGCAGCCCTATATCCAAGTTTACTCAGATCTACTTTACTAATACTTTCTAATCATTTGTAAACATGGTTGATGCCTATTTTATTACTTAATAATCAACTCCAAGCTCCGTCTTTAAATGCTCTTTGAGAAACAAGAATCATCTTACGTCTGGCAGGGAAGATACAAACACGGACACCTCGCCATGCGTCCCACTAATATAAAGTAGTTTATTTAGCTCAATTTGACCTCTGGTTTCCAATTGAGGAACCCAGGGTCGTAACAGAGAGCAAAACAGCTGGTCATGGGGGACCTAAATTATTGAGAAATCAATTGGGATTCAAGGAATCTCCATTGCGAGTAGGAAATGTGGGGAGCAAAGTTAGTGGACGTTAAAGACAGGAATTTCCTAACACAAGATGTGAAGGAAGACACACATGTGAAGGGAATGAGGAGGGGGATACACCGAGCCTATTAGACCTGATTTTCACCCAGAACGTAGAAGACATCGCGAATTTGGAACACGAAATACCACTAGGAGCCAGTGACCATTGTGTCATAGTCTTTGATTACATGATCGAACTTAAAATTGTGACCACGGTACAAGAGGTCTGGGAATGGAGAGTTGACTATAGGAAAGGGGACTACAGAAGGATAAGGGAATATCTGGGAGAAGTGCAGTGGGAGGAAAAACTTAGAGAAAAAACAGTCCAAGATATGATGAACCTAGTCATATGGAAATGCAATGAGGCCGAAGAGCAGTTTATACTAACAGTAAACTAAAAAAAGGAGGAGGGAATATAATAACCCATGGTTTAATAGACTGTCAGGGAGCAAAAATGAGAAGCAGGAGGGAGTGGAGGAAGTACAGAAGACAATGGACAGAGGACAATAAGATTAGATGCAACAGAGCTAGGTATGAATACATTAATATAAGGAGAATATCGGAAAGACATTATGAAAACAATATTGCAATGAA